TCAATGATGGATGCGTTCATAATGATGTGGGAAACTTATATGACCTTGCTCCCAGCCTCACCAGGTTTATAGTCTTATAAATACTAATTCCATTTTGCTCTGTCTTCAATATTGAAATTAATCCTTGCTATGTTCAAAGTGGTTTGTAAACTAAGCTGATTTTAACTTTATTATTTAATAAAATGGTTGTAATGGAGATGGAAAAAGTTTTCCCTGGAGATTAACAATGAAGAAAAATGGTTTTAAATCTGGGTAACGGAATTATAGCTACTTTTATGAGCAGTGTCATTTTTGTCCCTTGTTCTTTCAAAAAAAAAAAAAAAAAAGAAAAACCCATTGGGAAGATGCAAATAGTAACATTACAGAACTCTACACTTTCACTCTTACCTTTACTGCATCTTATGCGCATAAAATTCCCTTTTTGTATATTTGGGCTTTGTAAAATGAGTCAACTGATTAGATCTTTTTACTTTGTATTATTTTCCCTTCAACAAACTATCCAGGCGAAACATTTTTTAAGCTTATTACCATGTATTTTCTTGACCTTACATTTATAGGTAAATAAAATTGAAGTCCAGTATGACAAAACTTCTAAACAAGTTGATATGCATGCATTAAAGGAGACATTTTGGGATCACATGCAAGGATCTTTTGAAGTTGCTGAAATGGTGAGCATTGCGTGTTTATTCACTTTTGTTATTATTGAGTGCCTAATTCAGAAGGTTGAAATAACATTTATGATATTACAACAAATTCATTTCTTATCAACAGGTGCACAAAGGTACATTGTCTTTCAAACATGTATTAGCTATGTTTCCCTTCAATTGCCAAGCTGCATCTCTGGAGGATATTTCACCCCATTTGTGTTTCATTTGTCTGTTGCATTTGGCTAATGGGCATAGTTTAAGCATCAAAGGTTGTCTCAGTTTAGATGATCTTAGTATTCATCTCCCCGGTTCATGGCAAAGCACTGATGCTGTGGCATAGGCTTTGTCATAACCTAGAGCTCATCTTTATGTATCAGGGGATAGCACAGTTCTCCTTATGCCAAGTTTTTCAGGCCTATGAAGGCTAAAGCAATGGAGGAAGAAAAGAAAGGAAAAAACTGTAAGTAAAACTAACATGCTTGTATTATGTTGTGATTGCTGCATGCCGTTGTATCAACTTGTGTGCTGACTTATGCATGCACAACATGTGAACAGAACATTCTTAAGTTAAGAATCCATGTAATTAGCTTGCTAGTTTGTTTCAAATAACTCTTTTTACTTGTCTACCCAGGTTCAATTTTTGTGGGGAGCACTCTCGGAGTGAAATCCTGAATGCACTATGTCGATGTGTGGGGGGTGCCCTTAAGATCGCACAGAGAGCCTGAGGGATACCTCAAACGGTAATACCAAAAAAATTAACATTTTTATATGATATATGTAGAAGATAAATCTGGTAACTGAAGTTATGCACAGTCTTCAATCCATCTACCTACTCAAATATGACTCTTATGAATAGGAAGCAATAGTTGTGTGGAGATATAGATTACCATGTTGAGATTTAAGCAACCTTCTCTGTTGTCTTATAGTGGAAATGGCATCTCTCAATTCAGTATGATATCTGTGTGTAGGATGACATAGATGGATTATCCTGAACGAATTTGAGAATATGACATGTGACCATTTAGAGTATGATGAGGATTGTTCATCATTTTGGTTCAAGTTCCAGGTTTAACTCTCATTAGAAAGATGCCAAAGCAAATAGTGTATCATTTTCTAGAAGAGAGTATGGATTAGCTTTACATAGTGATTCTAGCCAATGTAATGTTAGATTAGCTGTATCGGCCAATGTTCATTGAAAAGAAAATCAGTATTAGTTGGCTCTTGGAATTGCGGATACCTATGTTTGGCAAAGTTTACTTCTTTTGGCATTCGCCATTTAAGGTTTATATGATCTGTTACACACGTAGACAAGAGGGAAAGAGATCCCTAGAATAGATAACTTAGCTAAAAGATTTTCATAGGTTTATGGGAATGAACGTTGCCATTGTTGACCAAATAGCGTTTATCCATGAGATTACGAGAAAGTTTCGAACTCAATTCTGCAAGTAAAATGGATATATGTATCCATTATTGAACCTTATTTGATAAGAAAGATTCGAACTTAATTTTTCAAGTACAACGAATATATGTGTTTATTATTGAATCAAATAAAAAAAATGAATGTAGTTGAAGTGAAAATACTTAAAAGAATATGTGATAAGATTAGAAGATATAAAATCAGAAATAAAGATATTTGAAAAAAGTTAGTAATTTGAATTGAAAAGAAGATGAAAGAAATCGTTTGCGATGGTTTAAATATATGAAATGTAAGTTTAGTCGTGCATCAATTAAGAGAGTTGAGTCTTTAAATTTAAAAAAGATTAAAATATTTAAAGATAAATCACGAAAAATGTAAATGTAAGTAATAAAAAATAATACAAAAAATTAAATAAAAATATACTTATTGATAGAAATAAGATACATAAAAAAAATTTAAATTATAATTTAATTTGATTTTTTTATTTGATTTTTCATACAGTTAATCTTAGAATATGAAATATAAGACTTATTGTTGTTTGTATTATTGAATCAAATATCGAATATTTATGTTATGGTTCCCGAGGATTATCATATTATTCAAAAGGTGAGAGAAAGTTGAGAAAAGTTGTTAAAATATGGATAAACTTAAGCAAACGTGGCAAAGGGTGGCATATCTTTTATTCTTGGGCATATAAAGGAAGAGCAACTTGAGAAAATTGAAAGTGATTCATGGCTATATTTCCCCCATTCTTGATCAACTTTTTCTTTGGTGGGTCAATATCCAAAATTCTCCTAGGAAAAGAAAAGCAATTTGAACTTGATGAACTTTTGCATGAGATGAGAGAGTTTTATTATACATGATAAGGTACTATTTACATTATTCATAATTATGAATATATTTTCTCATTTGATTGAAAATTATGTATGTTTCAAACATACTTTGTACACTATCTATAATAATTTTTCATTATTATTATTATTTTTTGTTATACGTTATCTTTAGAGATATAAATAAATAAAATGTTTGATAAAATAATTTATTAATAGATTCTATTTTTGTTTGTTTATGATTATTTATTAAATTTAATAAATAATCATAAATAATATTTTAAAATTTATTAATTAAATATATTATGAATATAACAAAATTTGTTAATATAAACATTAGATTTTTTTAAAAAAAGTTTAAAAGACCCCAAAATTTGGGTCATTTTAAGCTTTTGAAGATGCAATTAAGGACCACAAAGGCATCAATTCCGGTGGGGGAAATATTCTTAAAGGGGACCAAATCTAACACCCAAATAAAAAAAATCCCTTAAATAACGACAATGGTCCCAATGGTTGGTCCATATTATAGGTCCTAAAAGATGGGACCCACAGAATTGATGGGCCCATATTCGTCTAATGAAGGCTAGAGCTCAGAAACCGCAAGTTTGTTTAGGCCGGCATTTCTCAAGACTGATAATAATGTGGGCCCATAAAAGTACGCTTTTTACCGACCTTATCCAGGCTTTGTCCAATTTTGTCGGAATCTTCTACCGTCCATGTTCTCTTGTCTCTACATTTTTTCCTACCTTTAATCGCTAATTTAGCTTTAATCCTACTCTATTTTTCTATACTTTGTACAATGATTGAATTTATTTAGAAGTATGAATGATATATCAATACTTAAAAATTATTCAAATTTAATTAAGATAAAATTTAAATTTAATTTAATCATTGTCGAATCAAATTTGAATAATTCAATTTATCGAACAAATTAAATTTAAACATTTTAATGCACAACTTGAATAATTAATGAGCTTAATTGAACTTTTAAATTTTAATAAATTTAAATTATTTTAATTAAAAAATTATTATTTTCTTCTTATATATATATATAGATATATCAATTTGAATTCGAATTTAAATATAAAATTGAGTATGAAAATAGATATCATTTTTATTAAACGAGTTTCAATAATTTGACTTTTATTTAGAATTAAATTCGAACTTAAATTTGATTGAACTCGAACTAAGCTTCAAATAATAAATTTTAAGTCATTATTGGACTCAAATATTTCAGTGTATCAATTCAACTTGTTTTAGTTACACCTCTAATTTTGTTATTTACAAAGCTTCTAAATTTACATAATTATATATATTATACATATAATTTTTGCTAAATGACACTCTTTAAAGCAATGTGTTCATTTAATGCATTGAATCATCAATAATTTTTTGTTTTCCTTTTTTCCCTCCTATCAAAAGGAGTGTTAAAGGAGATAAATTCTTGAAAATCCTTTGCTTCAAACGTGTAACCTATATGCACATTTGTGATTGAATCTTAACCTTAGATCATGGTTTTCAAAGAAGATATGGACCTATTTACCCAAGAAAAAAGGGGTTTGAAGTTTGATAATGATTAAGAGTTTATATTTTTTGTATTATTAATTTATAAATTTTATACACTATCATTGATTCGAATGATGTTTTTTCATTAATAAATGAATATCAATCATTAAAATAAATATATAAAAATATAATTTTAAAAAAATTTCTTATTAATAAGATGACATTATCTGATTCACCTCATTAATAAAGTAATATTATCTGATTCATTGATAATATATAGAATTGTACACGAATAGTGCATCAAATATAAACTCAATCTTAAGATTTATATTTGATGCATTGTCCGTAAATTAAATGATATTACTTTATTGATGAATGAATATTAACCTTTAAAATAATCACTTTGCTTGATTTGTAATTGATAAGAGATAATGGGAAGCTACTATAAAAAGTTTACATTCATATTCTTATGTTCAAATGTGATTAAGAGTAGCTTCCTTTACATAAGTGGGGACCTGAAAATGAAATTTAAAGATGACACTGATTAAAGATTAAAAGTGTCAATTTGACAAAGAACAAAAAAGAACACAAAAATGAAAAATCAACAGGTTCTTGTTGTAGATTTCTTTTGTACTTTGTCAACTAATAATTCATTTACAGTTATGCAACCATCATCATTAGTAAATGATAACCTCCATCTATGAGTCTTCTCTTTTTCTTGTTCTATAAATGTCTTCAAAAGCTTCATCTTGGTCTCTACTTCTAGTACCTGCTACTCCAAATCATTTCCTTTAAGCTCCTGATAGATCCCAAAGCTTTTACCATTTCATTTACTAGGAAAGCAGCCATGAACGAGTTCAAAAAGTCTCAAATTCTGATACTATCTGTTGTAGCAGCACTTCTTTTTATTGCACCACTTTTATCTTCATCCTTAAGGCGTATTTATCTTTACTTTGTCCTCAATCTCCTTATTATAGCACTTGGAGCTGAAGCCGGGTTACTCTCAGTGTTTTCCAGGCCTACATATGTTGCAGCTAACCCAGTGACAACCCAAGAAGCTAAGAGTGTTGAAAGTAAGGATGATCAAAAACAGGTTGCTCCTGCAAGCAGTGAAAAGAAAGCTAAGGTTGTTGAGAAATCTGCCTCTGAGAAGATTGTTGGGACTGTGATCAAGGTGGATAAAGTGAAGAAATGTCCTTCTACTCCAAGCCTTTTCTTTATAGGAAGTGGAGAGACTGAAGCAGAAGCTGTTGATGAGGAACATGTGGAGGAAGAAGAAGAGGTGGTTGGAGGGCTTAGTGGGCCAGAGTTGTTTGCCAAAGCTGAGACTTTCATTGGCAACTTCTACAAGCAGTTGAAGATGCAGAGGGAAGAGTCTTGGAAGAGAATCAATGGATTTTATCAGAAAGCCTTTTAAGAGTCCTCATCATATTCATCTTATATTTACCACAGTTTAGGATCATTGGTTTGGGGATAATATATATGATTGGTCAGAGGGAGAACTGAACTAAGCTATTACCAGAGTTCTTCCTTTTATTGGGTCTGTTTTTCTCTCATTTTCCTGCTTGCCAAGCAAGTGCTCGGTTAGTATCCTCAGGCACTTCACACCATATTTTACTTTGAGGTGTCATGAAACAAGAAATTATACATAGCTGCGGGTTGTTCACATACTATAATATTAATATTTCTGTATGAATATATATATATAATTTATGGATTTTACCATATATTTCAGTAAGCTTCTTCTCATATAAACATTGTAACATTTGTTTGATGAGAAAAATGTCATTGGATCCAGCAAAAGTTTCCTAGTTAAAAAAAATGTTTTACCTGGAATTGAACAAGTGAAATTAACCCTTAAGATCAACAGCCTGAATCCTCAGACATATTTCAAAACCATGCCAAACTCAGGGGAAAGTGGAAGAAGCCATTTATCTGACAGGACACAGTAAGTAATAGACTGGTCATTGAGTTCCTAGTCTCAAATCAAAAAGTTTGAGAGAGTAGAAACTGTCCTATATGCCAAGAAGACTACAGTCTCTAGTCTCTTTTGCTTTGTTGATTGGTATAGTTAACTTGAGTCATCAACAAGCTTTCAGGGAAGTTTCAACTGTGTTTTCTGTAGTTATCAATAGTTTTTCATCCTTCTCTTTCATTTTTTTTTCTTTTCTAAAGATCTTCCAGGACTAGAAATTGATGTTCAACTATACAAGTTAATGCAAAGCAATGTCGTGCTGGGCTGGCTCTCATTTATGTAGAACACAGTGAATTATTAAGATTTGAACATCTAAGAGTGATTGCATGAACCAATTAAATTAAATTTGGATTCATTAATATTTCATTTAAAATAAGAAAAAAATCCTTATCAAAATACCGTTAAAATATATATTTATCTGGACTAGAAAAAGGGTATACGACAACAATTAGAGAAATTACTGTTTAGGTAGTTATATAAACCAATTGAGCTCGTTAATCTCTCCATGGTTTTCCTTCTTTTACTTTTCAGCTAATCAGCTGTTTGGCAACAGGATACAATATCATTACCAGGTTTCAGTGAAAGCTCAATTCTTCAGAAAAGAAAAGGTTATTGTTGAGGAAGAAACAAGCCAGAGATAGAAGTAGAAACAAATGGTGAAATTGATAATAACCTGTATGCTAGTGCCAGATGCTTTCTCTGAAAAAAAAAATATATTTCAACTAGCTTTTGTTGTTATCTATATGGGTTTAACTTGCCTGGAATTTTCTTCCATTTCATGTTAGATTTTATCACTTTGAATGTCTCCAAATTTTCTGTCGTACAAATGTTATTTTTTTTACTTTTGATTTATGTGGTGGGAAATAGGGACATTCATTCATTTCTTATTTTCCTTTCAAACTGAAAATTTCCACTTGTGTTCTTGTGGACTGTGGGTGTCCAAGCTGAGGCTGCTAACATGGATCCTTATCTCACTTTTTCTGGTTCCCTTTGATTCTTGTGGCATTTTCTGATGCTGACAGCCACTAGCAAGCCCAACCTTGAGAAACAGATTCGTAGTTTTGCTCTAAAGTTCTGAAAGACTTGAGCCTTTATATCAGCCAAATTGCCTTGCCACATCAATGTGGTTTTATTCCATTTTTTCTTCTCAGATTCAAAAATATTATTTATGACATCATTTAAAGCTTACTCTTAGCTCATTATCACCCATTTTAGCTCAAGACATGATGTCAACACTTCAAATCTATGAATCTTTGTCTCTTGATAGTTGTATTTCCATAAGGTCATTGCCTGTTAGAAAAAAAAAAAAAAACCTGTCTCTTTACCCAGTTTTTGTTTCTCAATTGGAGGAATAATTCAGTCAAAACATGATGAAATTAAGCAGTGGATTGATGGTCATAAGGACAGTGCTTTGACAATCATTTGATAGAACTTGCTGGCCGCTTTGTCAAGCTGATGCTGCAAAATTGCCTCAGCTTACTCTTCAACCCCCCAAAAAACCCAAAGTTTTAGCCCACAGCAACTTTATATGGCAGCCTATACTCCATGGTCCAATCAGTGTGTGGGCTCTGTTTTGGTATAAAAATAAAAAACCTTAACTCTCTAACAACGCTTATTGAAAATATGAATGAATTTTTTTTTATATCCGTAATCTATTCGTTTAATTATAAATCGTAAAATGTTATTCGTAATCTTTTGTTGAATTTAATAAACAAACATAAATCGAATTTATTCATAAACTAGTCGTTTGATCATTTGGTTGTTTACGCCATAGTTATACCTTTATTAAGCATTTAAAAAAAAAAAACCTTTATTAAGAAAACTTTCCTTCTTTGACATTTTAACCCATAAAAAAAAAATTCATTGTTAGCATTGTCATACAGGTTTTTTGCAGGATGAGAGAAGATGGAGAAGGAAACAAGAAGGCTGGTGAATTGTGCGACTCTAGCAGTCTCTTTAGTTTTAACTGTTCTGATTTGAGTCATGTAATTGTGATCATATATCCGGCTGCTCTTGCCATTTTTTTGTTTGTAGTTTTGTTCATATATAACTTGTCTGATTTGAACTCTATGGAAATGAAGGGGAGCAGTGGTTATCGAATTCAAGAGGCAATCTCGGCAGTGAAAGGGTTAATGTTGATGCAGTTGATTCTCAAAAATTACTATTAAGAAGACTTGTTAGAGGTTCCTCCGTTCATCTCTTGGATGCCAATTCACATTGAGCAAGTACATTAAAATACAATGAAAGCTTGTGCCTGATCATCTGAAATGTGAGTTTGAATATTCTTGTTGATGGAACAGGAGATGATCGAGCTCAGCTTGACAAAAATGGATTTTCATGCCAGACTGATCTTCATTCTGAAGTGTGGCCTTGCAGATAAACAGTTTATGTGCCTGCCATCTGATCAACCTAAAGTTAAGGGAATGGTTCAGCCATATGCAAGGAAGGAGGATGAAACTGCCATGAAACTTGTTACATATGTTCAGATACTGCATGGAAACACCAATCCACCAGCCTGCACTTTCACCCACAATGTCACAGATGTGGTTTTCTCTTCTAGAGGCTTCACAGGAAACGTGTTTCGTGAGTTCAATGAGATTATTCATCACTTGCCACCCTTTCCGATCCCGCCTACAATTTATCATCACAGACTTCCAGCCTTGGTGGGTTCAAGAGGACAACAGTGTTCTTTCTCACTTGTCTAGTTATGAGGTCATAGATCCTGAAGCAGATGCAAGTGTTCACCGCTTGCCAGCTGCTGTGATAGGGCTTCAGTATCATGAAAATCTAGCCCTCAACACTACTGATATTCCAGGAGGTTATTCCATTTCCTTGTTTGATTTCAGGCAGTTCCTAAAAGATTCATGAGATTCAAAAGCCAGTGCTGATGCTTATATCACGCCCAAAACAAGGTTTTTGAACGAAGATGAAATGGTGGAAATGGTGGAAATGGAGGAACTAGGCTTTAGAGTCACAAGGGCAGAAGTCAGAACCTGACTTGGGCTCCTGTAGTGTCACGGTTGGAGCTCATGGTGCTGGCCAGTGTTGATTCAAGTGGTGCCACTGGCAAGTGAATGGGCCGCAACCAACTACTTCGGAGAACCAGAAAAGGAAATGGGTGTCCGATTCTTGGAGTACAAGATTGAACCAGAGGAAAGTTCTCTCATTGACACTTGTGGCAAAGATCACCCTGTTTAGGGAGAGATTTAATTTATCAATGAATTTAGAGAGATTTAATTTAGAGAAATTCAAGAAGACCCTTTTTGAAGCAATGCAACTTCTTGGAAGCTCAACTCCCTTTTATCAATGAATGTGAATGTGATCATCTTCATGACACAGCAAGAAGAGGCTGAGAGAAAATGAATCCCATTTATCATCAACATCATGTACAATTCTCAAATTCATTCTTCCCCATTAAGGAATTAACATTAACCACTAATTTAATTGCACAAATTGCCGTTTTATCGATTCAAGAACTATCATTGCTCAATTCATAATGTCACAAATATTCAAACTAACAGATTCATTATTCAAAGGTGCCTATCTTGAGTTATAGTAAATCCATTTCATGTTTTTCAAGTCCACCTACAGCTTACATCAATATTTTTTTTTACAAATGAGGCCACATTCCGGGAATAAGGAAGAGGACTACAAATGTTGAAAATTTAAGCCAAAACCTGCTGGCTGCGATGTCTTAAGAGTGACTGCATAAATCACATAAACTAGCTCCGGGTTCCTTATAGCAATACATTTAATTATCATTACCCATATACTAATAGATATGGTCCTCTGAGCAGGCAGGACCATCACATATTACTAGATTCTTGTAGAGAACGAATCAAAAAGTAACCTGCAGAGTTATTCAAGTTTTTAAATGAAAACATTGGTCAAATGTTTTTAGTAAAAGACAACCTTTTCACAACGAAAAATGTGCAAGATTTTGCTTAAGCAGAATGGTGCAACCAACACACAGGCCTCTCAATTGCCAATCCTCATTGGCTATGTCCTCTAATTTGAGCAAAATGAAATGCAGCTGGGCAGCAGCAATTTTATCCTATAACCATAGTTCATTTATGAGGTTCTTAGCTTTAATATAATGATCGAACCTATCACTTAATTCAGTTGATTCATTCAATCCATTTTAAAAGATGATATCTAACAAATTTGATATTCAATTCGCAATAAATGAAATCTTTTTTCCTATCGCCACGTTTTTTGTACAAAAAAAATACAAAAAAAAGTCCATATTAATCATAAAATTTGGAGCAATATATCAATACTTTTTTGGGTAATCAAAATTAGCACCAATAACTAATAAATACATTAATAGAACCTTATTGTTTATTAATTTAATTTATTAAAAGTTCATACTTCAGAATCCAAAATGGGAATCAAGTTCTCTATTTTATACAACAATGCTTGATATCATTATACCATGAAATATATCCTTCCCTTCTCTCCCTAACCCAAAAAAATGTGTACGGCTAGCAACATTAAGTAATTCATAGATATTTGCTTAAAATTTTTTTTTATATCATTACATTAATTAGATGAACACTTGATGTAAAATTATAAAGAAAATTAAGAACCACTTCAACCGTGGTTTTTTTTTTATTATTATTGTATATATAAATAAATCACAAACCTCGTTTGAATTTTTGATTTAATCATCTTAAATTTGATTAATCATGTGTAATTACACATTCCGTAAATACAATATTCACCCGAATCGCACCGGTGGTTGCATTCCCCACAATGCCTTTTGTCGAAAGAAATGTTGACGCACTCTCCCCTGCAGCAAACCTCGGTGTATTTGCACTTCCTCTTGCATGCACCGCAGTTTTGGTTGTCCGTGACCAAATACACACATTTGTTGTTGCAGCAAGTGGAGTTGTGGCCACCAATAACGTAGCAAACCTCTTTGTCTTTGTTGCAATGGTGAGCAGCTCTAGGGTTCCTAGCTGCTTCTTCTTGCTTAAGGAAGCGACTTACCCTTTTGGAAGGAATTTGCAACGGTTGATCAGCGTTTGGGAATGAGGTTGAAGAATCAATCAGAGTGATCGGAGGAAGCTTCTCTTCAGCGACGCCAATGCTTTTCATTGCCAAAGTGATTGATATGGCAACGGTTATAGCTATAGCGACGATAATTTTGGTAAGTTGCATTTCCCTTGTGTTTTTGAATCTATGGTTCTTGAAGGGATTTTTTTTTTTTTTGAATTTTTCTTTTTGAAGTGAAGGAAATGAAGAGAAGTAGTTGGAATCCTGGATTATTGGGAGATTTTTTTTTGGTGACGATCTAGGGTGGATTGGACCTTGGGTTTATAAGGGAACTGAAGGGAGGGTTGACCAAAAAAACGTCGGGAAAAGTGGTAAAGCTCTTTGGGATGCGATGCAAGAAGTGTGGTCCAATTCTAATAATAATTTTGAAAGAAACTAAAAAAATTAAATAAATTAGAAAATTAATGTGGGTTTTATTAGTTCTTAAGTAAATCTAATACTTTTTCATTCATCCCAAGTTAGATTCATAAATGCTGTGGCTATTGGGGTTATGAAAAATATATATTATAAATAACTTTAATTATTTTTATATTTATTAATTAAAAATATTTTAAGTATTTGTGAATTAATTTGAAAACCATTTTCTTATTGACTTTTGAATATATATAAATATATATATAAGTCTATTCAATAAATAAAAAAAAAATATTTGAAATGTAATTAATTTTTGTATAATATAATAAATTAAATTTAAATCTACTATTTCAAATTCATTTTCTAAAGTATGGATTTTTTTTGGGTGGCTAAATAATAAAATTCATTATTTATTTTGTTGTAAAAGCTTGAAGTATATGCTAGAGGTATCATCACATGGTATCATGGAAGTCAAAGGGGCCATTTGTCGACCCTTGGCTTGATTCCTAAGCTAGCTTCAGCAAACTCCATTAATGAACAGCAAAGGTGCGGACAGTGCGGTGCCCCATATGGCTGACCTGAGCAAATCTGGCCAAATCGCTCGGCCAAGCAAAGTGGGGTTTGCCAATATTTTTTTTTATCTGAAAAAGTTTAACAGTAGGAAAATCACCAATTTTCAAAATTAAAACTAAAAGTATAATCAATCAAGTTTGAGTTAATACAATATTAAATTTAAATTTGAATTCGATTTAAAATTTGAGATTAAAAATTCAGTTCGAATTAGTTCAAAATTTATTATTTTAATTTGAACTTAACTTAAAATAAAAATTAAACTATTTGAACTTATTCAATTAGACGTTATTAACATATACAAATAAGCTTAATTTTTATATTCGATAAAAATTTAATTAATTATATTTGAACTCGAGTTTAAAATATTTTATTAATTAAATTAATTAAAATATATTAAAATATAAAAATTCGATTAGATTCACGAATCATTCGAGACAAGTATAAAATATTTAAATTCGACTCGATCGATGAATCGAATTATTTCAATTCAAATTTGATTTAATAATAATTAAATTAAATTTAAAATTTATTTCAGTCAAATTTAAATAGTTTGTGAGTACTAATGTATCATATATATATATATATATATCCTTATTTAAAACAAATCATTAACCTAAAAAAAATTTATATATGTTTTAAAAATTTTCAAATTTAGATATCGTCTACCAATATTATATGCTTTATGTTGAGACCTCCGTTCTAATTACTTGTGTCAGAAGAGATTTGCCATCATGTAAGCAAAATTGAGGACGACCCTAATTTTAAGGTAAAGCAGACACTAAACGAGCCGCTACTCAACGTGTTTGGGGAAAGCAAAAACTTAAGCATAAAGAATGCCAAAGTACAATTGATCTTATAAAATCTTAAATCTAACAAAAATAAAATTAAGTTAGCTACCAACGCAGAATATGTGCTATTCGATTGTTTATTGTGTAACAAGTTATTAAAATTTATATTTTAAAAGACGTCAATTTAAATATTAATTTAAATAAAATTAAATTAATATAAATTTTTTATTAAATTTTTTTAATCATAATTATAATAATAATAATATTATTATTTTTAATTTCATTGCAATCAATCTCATTATTTATCAAAATAGAGTCTAAATGTGATGATGAAAGAAAAAGCAAATAGTTTGTTTAAGTTTTATATAAAATATGTTACATTGAATTGTTATTACAAGTGTTCGTGAACCTGATTTAATTGAATTGGACTGGATTGATACTTTTAAAATTTGTAAAATATTAAGATTGAATTGCTCGTATACTTTTAAAATTATATGAAGTTACTATAAGTAAAAATATATATATTTAAAAAAAGATGAGTAATTTTTTAAATTTGTTTTTATTAAAAAATAAATAATTTTAATTTTATTTCACTTATTTTGAATTTTAATAAATTTTTAAATTGAGTTGATTTATGTAGTTTTAATTAGTATAGATAAGGCATGTATTTATACTTTTTATTTATTTAAAAAAATAGTCACCAATTTTCAAATTAAATAAAATTAAAATAAGAAATTATTTACCTTAAATCTTGTTTATTGATTTTTTATATTCAAATTTACTATTTTTTTTTAAATAAAAGGAAAATTTAGTGAAAATTTTAATTTTTTTTCTAGAAAAACTTCAAGGACAAAAGTAATATATACAACAACTATAAGGGCACCATTGCAAAATATTAGCTGCTTCTTAACCATTGTTTTTTGTGGTAAACGAAAAGCAAAAACGCCCAAACAAAAGCCCTCATCTCTCTTCGTTTCTTTCCTTCTCTAAATCCAACGTTCCAAAACGAATCTATTGGATTTCCGATGGAACTAGAGGTGGTTGGCCGCCACGCGCTGCTCTTTGACGATGATGCCATGGCGTCGTTCGTCAACTCCACGGCGGCTCTCGTCGACTGGAACTCCCTCTCCATCGACCGGTACGACGTACGACACCTCCTCTCCGGACCTCCTCCGCCCCGAAAGAGGCGTTGTCCATCCTCTCCGTTTCAAACCGCCGATGATACCTTGGAATCCGAGCTCGATCGCGAACGTTACTTCGATTTGCCACTTCCCTCTCCCTCGCCGTCCGATCAGCAAGGTGAGAAACGATAAAAAGTTATTTCTTTGTTTTTAATTTTAAATTGCTATTTAATTTATGCAAATATTTCATCGCTTTAATTCATAATTGTTGATCTGAGCTTTATTTCTGCAATTTTTATGAGATTTATTTTTTTTTCCAATTTCTGGTAATTAAAAAAAGTAGTCTTATAATTATGTAGGCTTCATTTGGATTAAAAAAATTAAAAATTTAGCGATTTTACTTAAACACGGAACTGTTATGTTCCTGTTGTTGTTACGACCGAGCAGAGCCCCTAACTTATCTCGAAGTGTGTTTTATTATAGCATTAATTAGCTAAGGATGTGAGTGAAAGGACAAAGAGCTATGTGGAATCTTTGCTTGTTTAATTCTTTGGTTCTTGTCACTGTTGAGGCTTTTGTGCTGAGTGTTTTTGGAAAATATCTCTAAAGAAATGATGAAACAAACCCTATATTGGATTTAGAGCTTGTTTTAACCTTTAAGTTACTCTGCTAGAGTAATTAATGTTTCTTTCTTGTTTTATATTGTCCAAAGCTGACTTAATTGGCTATACCCTTTTGAGCTTAAAATGAGGCTTAATAAGGTTTTCTCGTTGCGTGAATCATTTGGCTTTGTTGTTTTCATTTTGCTTATGGGAAAATATTATAATACATATGCTGTTACTATTGTTTCTTTTGAAGACGGTATTGTGCTGACCAATGGGTGGTTCACTTTCTAGTTTGCATGAACATTATATATTTTTTACTGCTTTTACAAAGTTGCAGGAAGGAATCTAGTTTGCAACAGTTTCGTGTTTCAGAGGGACAAGTAAGAATGTTACTACCTTACTCTAGCGTTTCCTAGCTAGCCTCTTTTTGTGTTTGTTGTTGATGCTGTTTGCTATGTGTTTCTAAAATCGTAATTGCATAATGGCTGTACATAGAGATGATTTAGATTCTGGTTTATTTTGCTTCCAGATGAAGATAATGATGAGGAACCTGCTACAGCTGGTGGTGCCTATAATGCTGTTGCCTTTTCATACGGAAACACTGGTGAATGCAATGAGCAAAAGGATACTGATGCAGAGTCTAGTTTTCAACCACCCTTTCCTGTGCCTGAAAACTTACTTCAAAGCCTAGTAAGTACATGCTCATGTTCTTACAGTATATCTTTACTTCTTTTGCATAATCTAGATATAATTGATTGTCTGATACTTATCCAATGTGGCTGTCTGATAGTTGAGTAAGGTGCATGTGTTTTTCTAAGGCTTACAATGTCTAAGTTTCAGATGCTCGGAGCACAGATGCAGTTCTTGTTCTATGTCATGACAATGGGGCATCCAGGTGGGATTAGGATGATAGAAATTCGTTACTTTTCAGGAATCTTATTCACTTGAGAGCAAATGGGATGTGATACATATCTTCCTAGGAGTTCTGTTTCTTGATCTTTGTGCTTATCTGAATATATGTGAGATTCTGTGGTTTTCTTTTTTTCATTTTTAATTCTTTGGGAATGTTAGTAAGTTTTTAATCACTTTTGGGACTTTGCAGTTGTTAAATTCTCATCATTGACTGGAAAACCTTTTTCTTTTTCTTCTTCAGCCTCCTACAGAGAAAGTACATCAGATCATTGCAAGAACAGCTATGTTTGTAAGCAGACATGGCGGACAATCAGAGATTGTTTTGCGGGTCAAACAAGGAGACAACCCTACGTTTGGCTTCTTGATGCCCGATCATCCACTTCACCCATACTTTAGATTTCTTGTTGATCACCAAGAACTTTTGAGCAGCAACTCCGTAGATGAAGAGAGCAAAAACTGACAGTACACCTTGATCAGGCAGGTAGTGTTAAAGGAGGAGGTGCATTATCTTTGCTTGGTACTGTATACGGTTCTGGAGAAGATGAGGAAGGTGCAATGGGGAATGCTACTGAGCTTAAGGGAAAGGAATCTGTTGGAGCTGAGGTTGCTATTAATAAAACATCAACAGATGGATCGGAGCAGAAAGCATCTTCTGTAGGTGTCAATGGGAAAGATGAGACAGTTACAAAGCATTCAGCTTCTTTAAAGGAAAAGGCTTCTCTGATAAAAAGAAATCTTTCGATAACAACAGTTAAGACTGGAACAACAACAGGGGTGAAGAAAGAAAGTGATACCTCTGCTACTGAGAAATCACGAGCCTCTTCTTCGTCGACCACATCAAAGGTTGACTTACCTGTTGTGGAGCCTTCATCTGATTTAAAGAGAGTGGTTGATAAGATTGTTGAGTTCATTCTGAAAAATGGTAGACAGTTTGAAGCAGTTCTGGTTGAACAAGATGTTAAGCATGGGAGGTTTCCATTCCTGTTGCCATCCAATCTTTATCATCCTTATTATTTAAAAGTTCTTCAAAAAGCTGAAAAGGTATGATCCTCAGTTTCCAATTTTCTGTATAACGTCTTTGTTTCTTATTAGACTCTTTTCAGTAAGACACATTTATTTAATTCTGGCTTGGCATTGGATAAAACAGGTAGAATGTGATATGGAACACTTTATTTTTTCATATGTTTCCTTTTGTGCCAAAATGTTGCTTCATATATCTATGTATTGAGTTTTCCCTTTGATTTTATATCTTTTTTTTTTTCATTTTTTGTGGGTGGTTTGATATTTTGCATATTCATTCACTTTAGATGTTATAATTGACTGCTGATTAAATCATAAAAGCAAATTTTTTGGCTCTTATCTCTTCTGATGATGTTAGATTACCTTTTCTCTGCAGTCAAAGTTACATGGTAAAGGATTCATTTCTGAGAAGCATGGTTCATCTGGCCTTGGGGTGGAAAAGAAAGCTGCTCCATCTCAAGAAAGTGATAGTGTGTCTGTTGGATCTGACATACCGTATGAATCTGAGAGGAAAGAGAAGTTTAAAATGGTAATCAGCAAATCAAAGAAGGATGGACAAGATCCACCTTCCAAAGCTACCCAGCCGCAAATTGGAGTTAGTGTGGATGCAGCTGCTGCTGCTGCTATTCTTCAGGCTGCCACAAGAGGCATTAAGAATCCAAATTTAGAAATTCTTTCAAAGACATCATTAAATGTTAGCAGCCAGGCCTCTAGTGGTGAGGGTGGGCATGTCCCAAGTTTCGGTAGAAATTCTGGTCCTGTTGCCAATGTTATTGCAAAGACGGCAGCTATTGCAGCTGCAAGTGAGGCTGATTCGTCTGAGGCATGCTTGACAAAAGAAGAGAAGTTGAAAGCTGAGAGATTGAAACGGGCAAAGATGTTTGCAGCCATGATAAAAAGTGGTGCTGCACCACTTAAAACTGAAACATTGCGAGGCTTATCTGCTGAAACACCAGAGTCAGGGGTTTCTGGTTCAGGTATGGAGGGTGGAAATGTTTCCAGAAAAGAAAGGGAAGGCAGCTCAGTTGCATTGGATGTTAATACTTATGATAAAAATGAAAAGCATGAAAAGATATATTCTGGTATTGAACATAATGAACGGCGATCAAAGAGGAAGTACCGTTCCAGATCAAAAAGACATGAAGAGGATAGCAGACAGGAGGAGGAGGAAGAAGAAGAAGAAAAGAAAGGAATGGACGAGCACTCGGGTAAAAAGCAGCGACCACATCACTCTTCACACCGTAGCAGGGATAGGCATAAGCATAGAAAAAGGCATTCCTCTTCAAAGGATAGAGATTCTCGACGTAGGCATAAGCATGATAGTAGCTCAGATGATGAACGAGGTCATAATTCAGATTACTCTGAGAGTGATCATCATCATTCTCGACACAGACGGAAGCAAGATATCTCTTCAGATAATGAACATCGGAGGTCAAGATTTGGAAATGAGCATGGTGGCTCCTCTGATGATGAGGATCAACGCACTCGGCATCAGCATAAGCAACATAGCTCCTCTGATGACGAGTGCCGTCAGCAAAGGAAGAGGTCTTACTCAAGAAGAGAGGTGGAATTGGAGGAAGGAGAGATTTATGCAAAATCAGATCAATCTAAAGTTAGTGAGGGCAATGGTGCAAGTAGGGAAGCATCTCTGGATATATCAAAACCAGATACTGAGAGAAGGGCTCCATCTCTGCCTTCTGAAACCACCACGGTTTCCGATGATTTAAGAGCCAAAATTCGAGCCATGCTGATGGCCACCTTGTAATTATCAACTTGACCCTGTTTTTCAGTTTGTACTTTATAGTTGCCATGTTTGTTTTCCTGATTGCAACCATCTAACTTATTATTTCTCCCAGTTTTAATTGATGAATTCCTTTTCTAACCATAAATTTCTTCACTTTCCGGTTCATTAATCAAATTTCGAATTTATGGATATCAATGGAAAGAGGTTGGGTAGGGAAGAGTATTTTCCATCTTTATATTCAAATTTTTATATTATATTTATCTTTGTATATATATCGGATGAATATTTTAAATTTATTTTCATTTTCATTCTCATGATTATTCATGGTTATTCAATGGGTATGAAAAATTTGCATACCCACAGCATTTAAAAAAAATAAAAATAAAAATTTATATTTAATTTTATATATTTAGATAAATTTTTTTATAAATGTTTATTAATATATATTTTTAATAAAAATATATTAATTTTAATTAATTTAAAATAATAATTTATATTATTTAATAAAAAATTTATTTATTAAATACATATATATAAATATATATGGAGTACGGGACATTATATTATCTATCTTTATTTTTGTACTCAATAAAAATTTAAAATTATATTAATTTTTATCTTGAGGTTAATAATATAATATTTATCTTCATCTTTATTTAGATAAAAAATTAATTTTTTATTAGATATAAATAAAATTGATATCTCTATTTCAATTACTTGCAAATTTCATGTTATTATATCAATGAGCATTTTTTTTATTTGAAATAGTTAACGTAAATAAATTATTTAATCTTTTAAATTAAAATAAAATATGTTGTATAAAATAATTTATCATAATTATTACTCATAAAATATGTTGTATAAAATAACTGGATTCGAAGTCAAGATTTTTACGTTAAAAAAAAATAATTCTTGCTAATTGAATTAACCTCTCGTTGATTAAGAGTTTTTTATTTATTTATTTTAATTTTTTTATAATAAAATAGAGCTGCCCTCGTGCCGACTCAACTTAAAATATTAAAAATTAGTAGCGAGGAAAATGAGAAACTAACTTCTCAAGTAAGATCATGAAGATAGAAGAAAAGAGTGATTTCGGCTAAAATTTTCTATTAACTTGTGATAACCAATAATTGTTGTCATGTTTTAGCACAAGGAAAGCTTAAAAAAAAAAAACAACTTTTGCTTTGAATTTGAGCTTGGAATTTTTTTTTTCAAACCGCAGGTGTCATGGGAAGACAGAAAGTAGTACATCACATCCAGCATATCTAGTTTGACTGTTACAATTTTCTTAGATATATAAATATTTATAAAATTTTTTTTTAAATATAAATTTCTGATAAATGTTTTTTTTAATTAAAATATTATATTTTAAATGATTAGATTTAATAACAGTAGTGATATTTAGATCAAGCGGCTGAGAATAACCAATTATTAAATGGATTTTGACGTGTCAAATGATTAAAAGCCAGTACTTAGTCGCGTGGCAGTCTAAGGCAGCTAAGTATTGCTCAAATTTCAAATCAAAGCCGCCACTTACAACTACTTTACACTAAAAGAATAAACGTGTGAAGACTACGTTCTTGGTCTTTTTTTTTTATATAAAAATATAGTTTTTATTATTATTATATTTATATATAAAAATTTAGTTAAAGGTATAAAAATATTATTTTATAATATTATATCAATTATCAAATTTTTACATAAAAAATATTATTAATATGAAAATATTTATTTTATTATTGTTTTAATAAATTTATGGCATTTTATATATAAAAAAAGATAATATTTTTAAAAATAAAAAACTTCAAAAATTAAAAATTAAATTTAATCACTAAATTTGTTTTATTAAAAAAATTATTGTTATTATAAGTAATATTTTACAATCATATTCAGTGCGAAGTATCTAATTTTAATTTATGATTAAGATTATATTTTTATCAAATCAAATGGTTAAGAATTATTTTTGTCAAAATGAATATGTAATTAAATTGGTTTTTAAGGATAAAATAGATAAAAAAAATTAATATCTATTATTCAAATACGAAAATCATATTTCAAAAATTAAAATCTCAAAAGAATATTTAAATTTAATCGAATCTAATGCCCTCTAAAAAGTTATTAAAACTTTAAGAGACCCATTTAATATTTGGGGTCAAAGGCAAATATCCAATTTGACCATCAAAGATGGATAGTCGAATCCATCTTCCCAATCAAACCGATTGGTTTTTGGCTTTTCCTTCTTTCCCCATTTCTTTCTCTTGCCAATATTGGAATTTATCCAAAATTTCAACCTGGCCATTTCCTCTCCTCCCCCCCTCCCCCCCTTCCTTTTGTTTTTCAAAATCTGCTACATTTCTTCTTTAAACATATAATTGAAAACCCAAAGTTTTCCACGTCGAAAGATTGCCACGTTGAAAAAAAATACTTTCATTTATATCATCAAATTTGTAATTTTTTTTTAAATTTCGAAATAGATAGATTATTTAATTTTTCAAGTTACGACACGTTAATATGAGATAGATAAATTATTTAATTTTTCAAGTCAAGATATAATATGGTGTATCTGATAATTTAAAACATGTGGCTATAATACTTCTTCAAGATAAATAAATTGCTTAGTCTTTTAAGTTACAGCACATCAATCCAAAGTAAATAGATTACTTAATCTTTTAAGTCAATATAAGATATATCATATATAAAATCTAAAATATGTGATTACAGTTTTTTCATTTGATATGATTCCAACAAATAACTATCGATGACACTTAAATCCAAAATTTCTTTTATTGAGAAAGATGAATTTTGATTAATTAAATCAACCACTTATTAGTAACAAATTTAATATATTGTTGACTGAATTACAACTATATTTTTATTTTAAAAAATTAAAACAAAAATGCTAAACTTGATTGATTATGTATGAAAACAACATATATATGTGTTGTGCCTGAAGTAATAATCACAACAATATAGAAGCAATAGACAACAATCAATAATTAAATATGCAGGAAAAATAAAGCACACTAAGATTTACGTGAAAAACCCTCCAGTGTAGAGGAAAAAAACTACGGGCCACCAGAAAAATCTTCACTATCAAATAATAGTTATACAAAGTTCTTCTCTAGCTAAAACTAGAGCTAATCAATAACTAGAGAAACAATTGAAGAAATCTCACCAAATAAATGACTCAACAAATATACCATGGATTTGTTCCTAGAGAGCTTCAAACCCGATCTTCACCTTTCAGAATATAGAACTCTGAATCATAAACCTCCTAACAAGGTTCTGACTCAATCGGACCACGGATCGACTTCCGTTCAACCAACTCTTCCTTCTCCTTTTTCTCTCTCTGCTTTTCCTAGCTTTTCTTCTTTCTCTACTTGGTTTTCAACACACACTTAAAACAACCCCACCTTTTTTTTATTAAGTAGCTAGGACTCTATGTAAAATAAAAGATCAAGGCCCATGGCCTTTACTTGGTCCAAAACCACTTACATGGGACTGGACCCCATTTTCCTAACAATCTCCCCCTCTAGCCCCATTAGGAGGAGATTCATCATCATAGCAGTTTCATTTGAACTTACCTTGGTCAGGGAACTCATTCCGACCAAGTTACTGCAAAGCTCAAGCTTTTTCCTAGGAAGTATCTTAGTCAACATATCTGCTACATTCTTATCAGTATGGATTTTCTTCAATAACATCTGCTGTTCTTCAATCACTGAACGTAACCAATGATATCTAACATCAATGTACTTTGTTCTAGCATGGTACATGGTATTCTTACTCAAATCTAAAGTACTCTGGCTATCACAAAATATCACATACTCTTTCTGATTCAACCCCAATTCAAAAAGAAAACGTTTCATCCAAAGCATTTCTTTACATGCTTCGGTTGCTGCAATATATTCAGCCTCTGTAGTTGACAAAGCAACACACTTCTGTAACTTAGATTGCCAAGATACAGTTTCTCCTGCAAAAGTGAAAAAATACCCTGAAGTAGATTTCCTACCATCAAGATCGCTTGCCATGTCAGCATCAGTAAACCCTTCTAGAACTGGTTGTGAAACTCCATAAGTCAAGCACATTTTTGAGGTACCATTCAAATATCTAAAAATCTATTTCACTGCTTTCCAGTGAACCTTCCTTGGATTAGAAAGAAATCTGCTCACTAAACCAACTGCATAAGCAATGTCAGGCCTTGTACAAACCATAAGATACATTAAAGAACCGACTGCAGAAGAATAAAAAATACTAGACATAGCTAGTTGCTCTTCCTTAGACACTGGACAAGATTTCTTACTTAGATGAAAATGGTTAGCAAGTGAACTGCTAACTGATTTAGCATGTTGCATGTTGAATCTACCAAGCACTCGTTCAACATACTTTTTCTGTGACAACCACAGCTTTTCAGCTCTCCTATCCCGGATAATGTCCATACCAACAATCTGTTTTGTTGGACCTAAATCCTTCATATCAAAGGACTTAGACAATTGTTCTTTCAACCTGCAAACCATACTAGCATCTTGTCTTACAATCAACATATCATCAACATATAATAATAGGATAATGAAATTACCATTAGGGAATTGTTTAACATACACACAAGAATCCACTGTTATTTTTTTATAGTTATGACTCACCATAAAAGAATCAAATTTCTTGTACCACTGTCACGGAGCTTGTTTCAAGCCATACAAGCTTTTTTTCAATTTGTAAACTAAGTGCTCTTTCCCTTTCACTTCAAAACCCTCAGGCTGATTCATATAAATGTCCTCCTGTAAATCACCATGTAAAAATGCAGTTTTAACATCAAGTTGCTCAAGTTTAAGATTCAAACTAGCTGCCAATCTCAGTACCACTCGAATAGAACTCATTTTTACAACTGGAGCAAAAATCTCATCAAAGTCGATGCCTGGTTTCTAAGAAGAACTTTTTACTACCAATCGAACTTTGTACCTCACTAGTTTGTCACCATCTTTTTTCAACTTGAACACCCATTTATTCTTTAATGACCTCTTCCCTGTTGAAAGTTTAACAAGATCATAAGTACTATTCTTTCGCAATGACTCCATCTCTTATTTCATTACTTTTAACCAGTGCTCTCTATCCGGAGTAGCCTGCACATCTTGAAAGCTTTCTGGCTCCCCTTCACTGGTAACTAAAATAAAATCTAAACTTGGATACCTGGTAGATGACCTGCGCTCTCTAGTAGATCTCCTGGGTTAAGACTCTACATCACTTGATGCTGAAGGTAGCTTCCCCTACTCAACACTCTCAGGTAGAGAGGATTGCTCCCCCTGTTCAAAACTAATAACATCTGGCTCATCACCAACTGTAGCTGGCTCATTTATATCCCTAAGTTCTGTTTCTTGCTCATTTTCACCATCTGTGGCTCTTTCCTGTGAAATCCCTGTCGGTGTTGAAACATCACACTCAACAGTAACCTGTGTAGTCTTCTCATTTTTTTCAAAGTCTGCTATGGTTTCTTTTTCATGAAAGACCACATCCCTGTTTCTGACTGTCTTTCTCTTTACTAGATCTCATACCCTGTAGCCAAATTCCTCATCACCATATCCTATAAATACACACTGTGTAGCTTTACTGTCAAGCTTTGATCTCTGTTCTTTCGGCACATGTATGAATGCTTTACACCCAAAAACTTTCAAGTAAGAGTATGAAGTATCTTTCCCTGTCCACACTCTTTCTGGAATGTCAAAGCCCAAAGGAACTGATGGTGACCTGTTAAGTAAATAACAAGCTATGTTGACTGTTTCACCCTAGAATGGCTTTGATAATTTTGCCATCCTCAATATACATCTAACTTTTTCCACAATGGTGCGATTTATTCTTTCAGCTATACCATTATGCTGCGGTGTTCCAGGTTCTGTCCTCTCATGTCTGATCCCATGCTTTGAGCAATACTTTTCAAAGTCTTTAGATGTGTATTCCCCACCATTATCAGTTCGAATACACTTCAAGGGTAACCTTGTCATCCTTTCAACCATGGCATGAAATTTTTGAAAATACTGTAGTACCTGACTTTTGTATTTCAACATATACACCCAAGTCTTACGTGAAGCATCATCAATAAAAGTAACAAAATATCTGCTACCACCTAATGACTCAACCTCAATGGGACCACATACGTCAGAATAAATTAATTCCAATCTATTTTCTTTTCTCTGAGAACTTTTACGAAAAGAAACTCTATGATGCTTACCAAATAAATAATAATCACATGAATCGAGAGATATACCTTTGGTCAAGGGAATGAGAGACTGCCTTGCCAAAACTTGTAATCCTTTTTCACTCATGTGTGTCAGCCTCCTGTGTCACAAGTTTACTGAAGCATCATTTTCAACGGTATTTACCTGGTTACCGTTCAATTGCATCCATGTCTTATACATTGTGCAGCATAGTTTTCCCCTTGTAACTACCATAGATCCTTTGAGAAGCTTTCATTGTCCTTTCTTTTGTCGGCTTTCATATCCCTCCTTATCAAGGACATTAATAGCAAGCAAGTTTATTCTCATATCTGGAATGTGTCTAACATCCCTTAAAGTTAACATGCAGCTTGTACTAGTTTGTACAACAATATCACCAATCCCAACAATCTGCGACACACTCTTGTTTCCCATCTTGATACAACCAAAGTCTCCTGCTTTGTAAGTTGTAAACAACTCTCTCTTAGGAACACAATGATATGCCACTCCTGTGTCAACTATCCACTGAATACCGGGATCACTAACATGATTACAATCACCATGTGTACAAATCAAAGTAACTGAATCACTATCTGAATTCACTGCTGTAGCATTACTATCATCTGAACTCTTACCTTTCTCATATTTTCGCTCTTGCTTCAAGATTTTACAGTTTCATTTTATATGACCCGCCTTACCACAATGAAAACATTTCACTTTACCTCTAGACTTGGATCTATGTTTAGACTTACAAGTTACAATCTTTTTAACAAGCATAACTTTATTCATACCTATTTTTCTCTCATACAATGCTGCCATTTTTTCTCAAATAATGTGAGCATTTGACTCCTGCGCTACATGATGAACACGCTGATATCAACCATTTTCTGATTGTAGCCAGCATCTTTCTACCTAGCTTCTTTCAGCTTTCATCTTTCATATCTGCTGGTTTAGCCGAATCACCCAATACTGGCTCATACAAATCTTTGCAGTATAGATGATCCTCCATCATAGGCTTTCAAATTGAATAATTCGATGCTGTCAATTTTATCATGGAACTGTATCACCCTCCATGATCTCAAACAAAATTTATTTCTATCCTGGGTTGCTTCTGTATCGATGTCTCAAAATAACCCTCGCTCTGATACCACTTGTTGCGCCTGAAGCAATAATCACAACAATATAGAAGCAATAGACAACAATCAATAATCAAATATGCAGGAAAAATAAAGCACACCAAGATTTACGTGGAAAACCCTCCAGTGTAGAGGAAAAAACCATGGCCACCAGAAAAATCTTCACTATCAAATAATAGTTATACAAAGTTCTTCTCTAGCTAAAACTAGAGCTAATCAACAACTAAAGAAACAATTGGAGAAATCTCATCAAATAAGTGACTCAACAAATACACCCTGGATTTGTTCCTAGAGAGCTTCAAACCCGATCTTCACCGTTCAGAATGTAGAACTCTGAATCATAAACCTCCTGACAAGGTTCTAACTCAATCGGACCACGGATCGACTTCCGTTCAACCAACTCTCCCTTCTCTTTTTTCTCTCTCTGCTTTTTCCTGGCTTTTCTTCTTTCTTTACTTGGTTTTCGACACACACCTAAAACAACCCTACCTTTTTTTATTAAGTAGCTAGGGCTCTATGTAAAATAAAAGATCAAAGCCCATGGCCTTTACTTAGTCCAAAACCACTTACATGAGACTGGACCCCATTTTCCTAACAATATGATCATGGTGAAGTAGTCAAAGTCATATAAGATCCTCATAATGATTTATAATATATAATAATAATTTTGAAGTAGTTGTCCTATCACATTTATCATGAATTAATTAATATATTTCTTAATTTTATATTTCCCAAACAAAGCAGAAGTAATTACCATACTCTACTTGGACTTTTGCTTCCCTTTAGTTTTTCAACTTATCATTATTTGCTACAAATTATTAACTTTCGTGTATCAATGGCCTATGACTTCATTTTCCTTTTTCTATACTTTAAGGAGAGCATTCAGCATTAATGAAAACTCCAAAAAATCCTACAAACAATGACGCCCTAAGGCTTGCATGTTTCCATGGCATCCATGATTAGTCCTAATACCTAAAATATGTTTATATGATACTTATCCAACGTGGCTGTCTGATAGTTGAGTAAGGTGCATGTGTTTTTCTAAGGCTTACAATGTCTAAGTTTCAGATGCTCGGAGCACAGATGCAGTTCTTGTTCTATGTCATGACAATGGGGCATCCAGGTGGGATTAGGATGATAGAAATTCGTTACTTTTCAGGAATCTTATTCACTTGAGAGCAAATGGGATGTGATACATATCTTCCTAGGAGTTCTGTTTCTTGATCTTTGTGCTTATCTGAATATATGTGAGATTCTGTGGTTTTCTTTTTTTCATTTTTAATTCTTTGGGAATGTTAGTAAGTTTTTAATCACTTTTGGGACTTTGCAGTTGTTAAATTCTCATCATTGACTGGAAAACCTTTTTCTTTTTCTTCTTCAGCCTCCTACAGAGAAAGTACATCAGATCATTGCAAGAACAGCTATGTTTGCAAGCAGACATGGCGGACAATCAGAGATTGTTTTGCGGGTCAAACAAGGAGACAACCCTACGTTTGGCTTCTTGATGCCCGATCATCCACTTCACCCATACTTTAGATTTCTTGTTGATCACCAAGAACCTTTGAGCAGCAACTCCGTAGATGAAGAGAGCAAAACTGACAGTACACTTGATCAGGCAGGTAGTGTTAAAGGAGGAGGTGCATTATCTTTGCTTGGTACTGTATACGGTTCTGGAGAAGATGAGGAAGGTGCAATGGGGAATGCTACTGAGCTTAAGGGAAAGGAATCTGTTGGAGCTGATGTTGCTATTAATAAAACATCAACAGATGGATCGGAGCAGAAAGCATCTTCTTTAGGTGTCAATGGGAAAGATGAGACAGTTGCAAAGCATTCAGCTTCTTTAAAGGAAAAGGCTTCTCTGATAAAAAGAAATCTTTCGATAACAACAGTTAAGACTGGAACAACAACAGGGGTGAAGAAAGAAAGTGATACCTCTGCTACTGAGAAGTCACGAGCCTCTTCTTCGTCGACCACATCAAAGGTTGACTTGCCTGTTGTGGAGCCTTCATCTGATTTAAAGAGAGTGGTTGATAAGATTGTTGAGTTCATTCTGAAAAATGGTAGACAGTTTGAAGCAATTCTGGTTGAACAAGATGTTAAGCATGGGAGGTTTCCATTCCTGTTGCCATCCAATCTTTATCATCCTTATTATTTAAAAGTTCTTCAAAAAGCTGAAAAGGTATGATCCCCACGTTCCAATTTTCTGTATAACGTCTTTGTTTCTTATTAGACTCTTTTCAGTAAGACACATTTATTTAATTCTGGCTTGGCATTGGATAAAACAGGTAGAATGTGATATGGAACACTTTATTTTTTCATATGTTTCCTTTTGTGCCAAAATGTTGCTTCATATATCTATGTATTGAGTTTTCCCTTTGATTTTATATCTTTTTTTTTTTCATTTTTTGTGGGTGGTTTGATATTTTGCATATTCATTCACTTTAGATGTTATAATTGACTGCTGATTAAATCATAAAAGCAAATTTTTTGGCTCTTATCTCTTCTGATGATGTTAGATTACCTTTTCTCTGCAGTCAAAGTTACATTGTAAAGGATTCATTTCTGAGAAGCATGGTTCATCTGGCCTTGGGGTGGAAAAGAAAGCTGCTCCATCTCAAGAAAGTGATAGTGTGTCTGTTGGATCTGACATACCGTATGAATCTGAGAGGAAAGAGAAGTTTAAAATGGTAATCAGCAAATCAAAGAAGGATGGACAAGATCCACCTTCCAAAGCTACCCAGCCGCAAATTGGAGTTAGTGTGGATGCAGCTGCTGCTGCTGCTATTCTTCAGGCTGCCACAAGAGGCATTAAGAATCCAAATTTAGAAATTCTTTCAAAGACATCATTAAATGTTAGCAGCCAGGCCTCTAGTGGTGAGGGTGGGCATGTCCCAAGTTTCGGTAGAAATTCTGGTCCTGTTGCCAATGTTATTGCAAAGACGGCAGCTATTGCAGCTGCAAGTGAGGCTGATTCGTCTGAGGCATGCTTGACAAAAGAAGAGAAGTTGAAAGCTGAGAGATTGAAACGGGCAAAGATGTTTGCAGCCATGATAAAAAGTGGTGCTGCACCACTTAAAACTGAAACATTGCGAGGCTTATCTGCTGAACCACCAGAGTCAGGGGTTTCTGGTTCAGGTATGGAGGGTGGAAATCTTTCCAGAAAAGAAAGGGAAGGCAGCTCAGTTGCATTGGATGTGAATACTTATGATAAAAATGAAAAGCATGAAAAGATATATTCTGGTATTGATCATAATGAACGGCGATCAAAGAGGAAGTACCGTTCCAGATCAAAAAGACATGAAGAGGATAGCAGACAGGAGGAGGAGGAAGAAGAAGAAGAAAAGAAAGGAATGGACGAGCACTCGGGTAAAAAGCAGCGATCACATCACTCTTCACACCGTAGCAGGGATAGGCATAAGCATAGAAAAAGGCATTCCTCTTCAAAGGATAGAGATTCTCGACGTAGGCATAAGCACGATAGTAGTTCAGATGATGAACGAGGTCATAATTCAGATTACTCTGAGAGTGATCATCATCATTCTCGACACAGATGGAAGCAAGATATCTCTTCAGATAATGAACATCGGAGGTCAAGATTTGGAAATGAGCATGGTGGCTCCTCTGATGATGAGGATCAACGCACTCGGCATCAGCATAAGCACCATAGCTCCTCGGATGACGAGTGCCGTCAGCAAAGGAAGAGGTCTTACTCAAGAAGAGAGGTGGAATTGGAGGAAGGAGAGATTTATGCAAAATCAGATCAATCTAAAGTTAGTGAGGGCAATGGTGCAAGTAGGGAAGCATCTCTGGACATATCAAAACCAGATACTGAGAGAAGGGCTCCATCTCTGCCTTCTGAAACCACCACGGTTTCCGATGATTTAAGAGCCAAAATTCGTGCCATGCTGATGGCCACCTTGTAATTATCAACTCGACCCTGTTTTTCAGTTTGTACTTTATAGTTGCCATGTTTGTTTTCCTGACTGCAACCATCTAACTTATTATTTCTCCCAGTTTTAATTGATGAATTCCTTTTCTAACCATAAATTTCTTCACTTTCCGGTTCATTAATCAAATTTCGAATTTATGGATGTCAATGGAAAGAGGCTGGGTAGGGAAGAGTATTTTCCATCTTTATATTCGAATTTTTATATTATATTTATTTTTGTATATATATCGGATGAATATTTTAAATTTATTTTCATTTCCATTCTCATAGTTATTCAATGGGTGTGAAAATTTTTCATACTCACAGCATTTAAAAAAAAGAAAAAAAAATTTATATTTATATTTTATATATTTAGATAATTTTTTTATAAATGTGTATTAATATATATTTTTTAATAAAAATATATTAATTTTAATTAATTTAAAATAATAATTTATATTATTTAATAAAAAATTTATTTATTAAATATATATAGAGTACAAGACATATATTACATTATCTGTCTTTATTTTTGTACCTAATAAAAATTTAAAATTATACAAATTTTTATTCTGAGACTAATAATATAATATTTATCTCCATCTTTATTTAAATAAAAAATCGATTTTTCATTAGATATAAATAAAATTGATATCCCTATTCTAATTACTTGCAAATTTCATATTATTATATCAATGAGCATTTTTTTATATGAAACATCTAACGTAAATAAATTATTTAATTTTTTAAATTAAAATAAAATTATTAAATTAAGATAATTTATTATAATTCTTGTTCATAAATTTGAAATAATCTTAACAAAAAATCATTAACTAAATTCGAAGTGAAGATTTTTATCTTAAAAAAATAATTATTGCTAATTGAGTTAATTTTTCGTTGATAATAAATTTTTATTTATTTATTTATTTTAATTTTCTTATAATAAAATAGAGCTGTCTTCATGCCGACTCAATTTAAAATATTAAAAATTAGTAGCGAGGAAAATGAGAAACTAACTTCTCAAGTAAGATCATGAAGATAGAAGAAAAGAGTGATTTCGGCTAAAATTTTCTATTAACTTGTGATAACCAATAATTGTTGTCATGTTTTAGCACAAGGAAAGCTTAAAAAAATAAACAACTTTTGCTTTGAATTTGAGCTTGGAATTTTTTTTTTCAAACCGCAGGTGTCATGGGAAGACAGAAAGTAGTACATCACATCCAGCATATCTAGTTTGACTGCTACAATTTTCTTAGATATATAAATATTTATAAATTTTTTTAAAATATAAATTTCTGATAAATGTTTTTTTTAATTAAAATATTATATTTTAAATGATTAGATTTAAATAATTACATAAAACAGTAGTGATATTTAGATCAAGCGGCTGAGAATAATCAATTATTAAATGGATTTTGACGTGTCAAATGATTAAAAGCCAGTAATTAGTCGCGTGGCAGTCTAAGGCAGCTAAGTATTGCTCAAATTTCAAATCAAAGCCGCCACTTACAACTACTTTACAGTAAAAGAATAAACGTGTGAAGACTACGTTCTTGGTCTATTTTTTTATATAAAAATATAATTTTTATGATTATTATATTTATATATAAAAATTTAGTTAAAGGTATAAAAATATTATTTTATAATATTATATCAATTATCAAATTTTTACATAAAAAATATTATTAATATGAAAATATTTATTTTATTATTGTTTTAATAAATTTATGGCATTTTTATATAAAAAAGATAATATTTTTTAAAATAAAAAACTTCAAAAATTAAAAATTAAATTTATTCACTAAATTTGTTTTATTAAAAAAATTATTGTTATTATAAGTAATATTTTACCATCATATTCAGTGCGAAGTATTTAATTTTGTGATTAGGATTATATTTTTATCAAATTGTATGATTATGAATGTCAATTTTTTTTTGTCAAAATGAATATGTAATTAAGTTTATTTTTAAGGATAAAATAGATAAAAAAATTAATATCTATGATTCAAATACGAAAATCATATTTCAAAAATTAAAATCTCAAAAGAATATTTAAATTTAATCGAATCTAATGCCCTCTAAAAAGTTATTAAAACTTTAAGAGACCCATTTAATATTTGGGGTCAAAGGCAAATATCCAATTTGACCATCAAAGATGGATAGTCGAATCCATCTTCCCAATCAAACCGATTGGTTTTTGGCTTTTCCTTCCTTCCCCATTTCTTTCTCTTGCCAATATTGGAATTTATCCAAAATTTCAACCTGGCCATTTCCTCTCCCCCCCCCCCTCCTTTTGTTTTTCTAAGTCTGCTACATTTCTTCTTTAAACATACAATTGAAAACCCAAAGTTTTCCACGTCGAAAGATTGCCACGTTGAAGAAAAATACTTTCATTTATATCATCAAATTTGTAATTTTTTTAAAAAATTTCAAAATAGATAGATTATTCGATTTTTCAAGTCACGACATATTAATATAAGATAAATAAGTTGCTTAATTCTTCAAATCAAAGTACAACATGTTGTATCTAATAATTTAAAACATGTGGCTACAGTACTTCTTCAAGATAAATAAATTACTCAATCTTTTAAGTTACAGCACATCAATCCAGAGTAAATAGATTACTTAATCATTTAAATTAATAAAAGATATATCATATATAACAGTTTAAAATATGTGATTACAATTTTTTCATTTGATATGATTCCAACAAATAACTATCGATGACACTTAAATCCAAAATTTTTTTTATTGAGAAAGGTGAATTTTGATTAATTAAATCAACCACTTATTAGTAACAAATTTAAAATATTATTGACTGAATTACAACTATATTTTTATTTTAAAAAATTAAAACAAAAATATGCTAAACTTGATTGATTATGTATGAAAACAACATATATATATATGATCATGGTGAAGTAGTCAAAGTCATATAAGATCCCCAGAATGATTTATAATATATAATAATAATTTTGAAGTAGTTGTTCTATCACATTTATCATGAATTAATTAATATTTCTTTTAATTTTATATTTCCCAAACAAAGCAGAAGTAATTACCATACTCTACTTGGACTTTTGCTTCCCTTTAGTTTTTCAACTTATCATTATTTGCTACAAATTATTAACTTTCGTGTATCAATGGCCTATGACTTCATTTTCCTTTTTCTATACTTTAAGGAGAGCATTCAGCATTAATGAAAACTCCAAAAAATCCTACAAACAATGACGCCCTAAGGCTTGCATGTTTCCATGGCATCCATGATTAGTCCTAATATCTAAAATACGATTTAAAAGTTTAGTAATAATTATATATAAATTTAATAAAATAAATTTTTTTATATTTTCATATTAACACGAATTATAACATTTAATTTTTATATAAAATATGATATAAATATATGAATCGTCAAATTTATTAATGACCCACCTTATTTTTATAAACGCACGTACCATAAAAATTTGATATGAAAAAAAAATTTATGCCTACATTGAAACCAATTAAAGCTAAAAATTCTATTTTGATGACATATTTGAAACCACCCACACGCTTGACACTTTTGAATTTTTTTTTTTTTTTTTTTGGTTTTTAAGACTTGAAGCAAATGAAAGATGAATAATTTTTTGGTTAAGGAAAGTGGTGAATGCTTTTGTCATCATAAATAGTAAAATGAAGTCCAAATTCAAGCTCACATGTTGTGTTAACTTCTCATACACAAAATGAAGGAAAAAATTTCTCTGTTTGTCACTTACTTTTACGTGATATTTGAACATTAGTTAATTTGGACAAAGCAAAAGATTATGAATCATTATGGAAATAATAATAATAATAAACAGATCAAATAATGTGAGCAAAAACAGCCCCGTCAAAATCCATTTTCATTGAGTTCGTATTTTAATTTAATTAATTTATATAATTATTTTTTAAAAAAATATTCCTCAAATTTGACGTTTAAACTTTAACACTTATAAACTTTTTTTTATTGCCAAATTGTGGTCTTTTTTTAAAAAAATTATTTAGTGTTTACTTTAATCGATGTTTATGCAACTATTTATAAAAAAAAAAATTATGCAACTACTCTAAATCACTAATTAAGAAAAAAATAATATTTTTTTCATTTTATTTTCTTTGTTCATCCTTTTTTTTAGATATTCCAAAATTATATATATTTTTTATTTTTTAAATATCTAAAATTTTTTCATTTTATATTTTAAAATTATTTTTGATTTTTGATATTAAAAATCATGAAACTTTAATTTTATAAAAGAATTTTAAATTTTAATATTAAATACATTAAAATCAAAATATTTTTCTTAAACTTCATAAAAGTTAATAACAATCAAATAACTTCGAGATGAAGGATGTAACAAACAAGAATATATATGAGAATAGATCTCATGTATATGATCTAATAATTTTCTTAATACAAGTTGTAAAAAGTATGTTTGGTATATACAATTATAACAAGATAGAATAAGATGATATTGCGATTAATAGTAAATTAAACAATATCATATTATTTATGTTTGATGCATATAAAGATTATGATATGATAATTTATTTATTAGTCAAAATTATCATTATTTAAATTTATAAATTTAAATAATTCATATAATTTTAAAGGACATAATTGAATATGTAAGTTTAATTTTATGGATAAAAAATAATTTTTTTTACTTTGTAAAGATTGAATCATCGTATGTCAAGAGATTAATTAATTATTCTTATAATTCTATCATTTTTTTAGATATAAAATAATTATTATTTAATTTTATTTATTATCTTATGTATCAAACATAACCGTATCTCAATGAGAAGGTTAAACCATCTAATTATCTGTAATCAATTTTTTTTATATGAAAAAAAAGTGTTTGTAATTTTTTTTGTACAAAAAAATCATAGTTTGAGAATAAAGAAAAAAAATTATAAGTTTTAAGATTTGAGTATCAAACTTATTGAATTTCACCTTTTAGTAACGATTTTATCAATTAACTAAATTAAGTTTCGATTCAAAACTGTTCTTAATTTCTAACATAAACAGGAAAAAAAAAAAACCAAATTCACCGTTTTATTATAAAAAATTAAGTTTGCCCCATTTTAAGTTTTGGTAATATTATATAGTGTAGAAAAAATTCTTTTGGAATTTTTAATTTTTATGAGTTACGTTTTGGACTTAACTTGTAGAAAAAAAAGACATAAGAAGGAATAATATTTAGTTTCGTGTGGGACTAATATTTCTGTTCGTGGAAAATTTTTAACCTTTCATTTTCACAAGAAAAAAAAATTAATTAATTACGCAAGCAAAATTCATAAAAATTAATTATAAATATGAATCTGGTGTCATCAAATCGTACACACTTGTAACTTAGTTATTTTCTATTCAGTGAATTTCAAAGAAATGGTGTTAAAAAATTTAATTCAATTAATTTATATAATTATTTTTAAAAATAATATTTAATAAAATTTAAATTTTAAATTTTTTTTATATTTTGGTAATTATTAATTTCCTTTTCCTATAGGAAAAATCTTTAATTTTAATCTGAATTTTTTAAATAAAACATTTACCATTTTTTTTTGGTAAATAAAGAATAAGTTTTATTGATATGGAATAATATCCAAAATTTTTAATACGTATAAATACGTACAAAAATATATGTATTTTGAAAATTTAGATATTTTTGCCAATATTATTAATATTACAATTTTTTCTTATAAATAAAAATATTTTCATTAAGGATAAAAAATATTATAATATTTTAATAGAGTGGAAATTTATAAAAAATATGTATAAAAAAAGAAATTAGCCGTCTTGGAAACTGATGTTCACACGATCTAAATTGTGACTGGTCAAACAAAATGTGGGGTCCACTTTATTATTAAAGAATATTGTCCGTCGATATCGTTGACTCTGTTGCTTGTACTCACACGTGGAATCAAAATGCGGCCAATCAAGAGAGAACCAGTCAAAGCGAAACCACTGTTTTTTTCTTTTATATTTCATTTTATAATAACTTTCCTATTTGATTGGACTTTTGCAACTGTTTTATTTTTTAAAATAAAAAATATTTAGGGTTGTCATAAATAAATAATTATTTCATAGTTTTTTAAAAAATATATCATAAGTGAGTGTATTTATATGTCAAACTTCTAATTTAATACATAATAATTTTTTTATTCATTCGTAAAATTTAAAAATTTTATTGACATATATAAAATAATAATATTTAAACAAATTTAAAATTAGAATCACATAAAGATGTATAACTTTTTTAGTTTGTAACTAAAATGTAATTCTCAAAGAAAAAAAATAAAAGTTAATAGAATTATTAGTAAAATATTAAATTTTTAATTTTAATGATTTGGGTTCAATTTTTTATTGTCTCAAATATAAATATTAAAAGAATCCCTGAAATTTATTATTTTATTTAAATAAAATCTTATATTTTTATTTAAATAATACTAAATACTTTATGTACGCAACTAAGATAATACCAAAATAGTTCTCATATTTTATTACTTTATTTAGGAATTATTCTTTGATTTATATTTGAATATGTCTTTATTTTAAATAAAAAATTGATTTGAGTACAAATTAAAAGATAAAAATTTATTTAGTTATAAATTAAAATTAAAGAATTTATTTGATTAAAAATAAAAGTTAAAAACTTATTTAAGCATGATAAAAATATAAAAATTTATATAAATAAAATGGTAAAATTTATAATTTTTTATTATTTTAACTAAAATGAAATAATATATAAATCATTTAATCTTAAAAGGTAGTTATGTGGCGTTGTGGGCAAATGTTGCATGATTCTTAAACAAGGGAAAAGGGCTATCTGCCCAAGACCTTTTATGCAAGACTTGGCCCCAATTTCACTTTCTCTCTCTCTCTCTCTCTCTCTCTCTCTCTATTATTTACAACTTCATGAAGACTCTTTCTCTTAAGTTTCTCTCTCAAATTAAGAAGAGAGGATAGCTAGCCAATGGCCATCAAGTTGAGCCATGTGTCCACTTGACGCACCATCTTACCTCACACTTCTCTCTCGCGCCCTTGATGATCATTTTTTTTTTACACATTGGATTTCATGCTTTCAGAAAGATCACTTTCACATTCTGGTCTTAGTCCAAATCCCTTTTTAAATGCCGAGTCCATTGCCAATTGCCACACTTCAAAACTTAATTCTACTACTGCCCCCATTTCTTTCTCTCATTTTATGGACAAAGGAGCAAGACTCTCCTTTGATGCTGCTGATGCAACTGCTACTGCTTGCTTCCATCTCAAGCAATCCCTTTTCGGTATCGAACCTTTTGGAAAATCCTATAAAACCTTTGCCTGGAAACAAGCTTTCATGGACCCTGTTGATAATCAACATGTTTCTGATCTGGTTCAAGATGGGAAACGAGTAGTCAATGAGATGGACTTCTTCGCCAGGGATCATCGATCTTCAAAAGAACAAGTTGAGGCTGATGATGTGAAGATAGAAAGTGAACATCATGGATTGGTGCAAGGGAATAATGAACCAGCAGCTGATGTAAATGTAAGAGATAAATTATGTAATATATATCATACCAAACTCATTTACTTCTTTGGTTATTTGCCTAAAACTTTTATTTGGTTTTTTAGACTGGTTTAAATCTTTTGACAACTAGTACTGCAAGTGAGAAACCAGTTTCTGATGATAGAACATCACAGAATCTGAAAGAGAAACAAAGAGCAAATCAGGTGGGTGACTTTAACATCATATTTTACGAGGGTTCTAAATCATATATATAGCTTAAATTGTGAAGTTTTGGGATGTTCATATTAGAAAACTTGTCATGGTGCAGTTAGCAGATATTCGAGCTGAATTGGAACGAATAAATGCAGAAAATCAACGTCTGAGAGTTACTCTTAATCAGGTGAATAGTAACTACTGTGCTTTACAGATGCATCTTGTTTCACTGATGCAACGACAACAAAATCAAAGTGCTGAAAGTTCAGAAGCTACTAAGGTAAAACTGCAAGAGAATTACACAATAAACAACTTGAGTTTCTATCTAGTTTCTGTAGTAATCATTAGTAACTAATATATTGTATGTATTCTAATTTGATCTGTTTTATTAGTTGAATAGACCAATGGAAGAGAAAAGGCATGGAGAAGCTATTGTTGCAAGGCAATTTATGGATCTGGGTCAAGCTGCAAAGGCTAAAAATGATGAGCTTTCAGAATCTTCTTCAGAGGGTAGATTCCAGGAGTTGTCAGGATCGCCGGGGAACACCATTGTTGAGTCTATGGAAAGAAGACAAAAGAACAGTACTAGTAGAAATGAAACAGTCCCAAGTGATTCAAGCAGGAAAGATTTAATGGACCCAGGAAGAAATCAGAGAGAAGATACCCCTGAAGGCCGACCTCATCCAGGATGGTTCTCTAACAAAGTTCCCAAGTTCAATAGCTCAAGGGATGTTGAACAAGCACAAGAGACAATGGCCATGATTAGAAAAGCTCGTGTCTCGGTTCGAGCTCGATCTGAGGCGTCAATGGTAATTAAGCTTTTAGATTAATCAAGAATTTTGTTTGAATCAAGCAAATCATTACAAACTAACAGTATCGTGTTTGGTAATTACTTCTAACAAGTAAAATAGCCAAAGAAAGAAAAAAATCAGGCTGCTTTATTAAACTCCCCACGTGCAAGAAAACATGCCGGCGAGCACACAATTTTAGGATGGCACCCCCCGCCTACTATTGTTGAAGTAGATTTTAGGAAAGTCCATAGGAAAAGTTGTAAATTTGTACTACTTCAAGAACTTTATTTCAGGCTGAATCACGAACTCTACTGACCTTTAATGAGTCATAAAGAACAGCCTTTTCAGTTAATAATCTGAATTGGTTTGTATCTATATGTTGGTTTAGGTTGCCAGCTAGGTCTTTTTTATTGTAGAAAGTCACTAAATGAAATCAGGTTTCTAGGGATTATCAATTCTAGTTTTCAACTAACCTATAATAACTCCCTTCATTTATAATTATATTGTAAAGTGATCATCAGGCTTTTTGGTTAATAAAACCAGACTGATTCAAAGATATATATGCATACTTATTCAATGGCTGCAGATTTCTGATGGTTGTCAATGGAGAAAATATGGGCAGAAGATAGCAAAAGGAAACCCTTGCCCTCGAGCCTACTACCGTTGCACCATGGCTACTGGCTGTCCAGTTCGCAAACAAGTATAAATATACTAATCCCTCTTTATAATTCAGATTTTTATTCCATGAATTGCAATGATCTTGAGATTGCTTTTGACCAGAGGAACCTTTTGTATTAATGAATTCAACAGGTGCAAAGGTGTGCAGATGATCGAACTATCCTTATCACAACTTATGAAGGAAACCATAACCATCCACTCCCACCAGCTGCCATGGCAATGGCATCAACAACTTCAGCAGCAGCATCGATGCTACTTTCTGGATCAATGAATAGCGCAGATGGGATAATGAACTCGAATATCCTCCCAAAAGGAATGTTCCCAGCTTGCTCACCAAATTTGGTCACCCTTTCAGCTTCAGCTCCATTTCCAACTGTTACATTGGACCTCACTTACACCCCCAATCAAAGGCCATTGAACCAGGTTCATCCAAATTGGCCTCATAACATTTCAAGTTTGCCTCATCTGCTTGGCCACCCCATTTACAACCAACCAAAACTTTTAGGCCTTCTTAGCTCTCAGGGAATTGAACATAACCATTTAGCTCAAAACCAAACGCGGGCACATTCCATGGCTGATACTGCCGCCACAGCTGCCGCCATCACAGCTGATCCCAACTTCACTGCAGCTCTAATGGCAGCCATTACTTCCATCATCAGCAATTCACATCGAGACAACAGTGGTAATAATAATAACGACAGCACAACTTCAAGGGACACTGAAGACAACAATACTTAAGAAAAAAAAACATTGTGTAAGAAAACTAATGCCTTAAATTTGCAGTTTGTAACTTTTTTTTCCTTAGAAAATTAAGTGGTCGGGTTTTTTCATATCTTCTAGGGTTTTATGTTACTACATGTATCTTGGTTCATGCTAAGGCTGTCAAGATTTAATATCTTCTGCATGAAATATATATATGTTTCATAAGTGATATTGCCTTTTCTTTTTCTATTTGTTTTTTTCCTTTCTTTTTTTCTTTCTTTGTGTTGTGTAGGATTTGAGTATTTCCATGCTAATAATTTTGTTGGCTAAGAAAGGATAACAATAGTTTTCAGGTATTAATGACTCAAAATTTATGTTCAATGAACTAACAAATAGATTTCTTAATTATTATATGGTTAAAACTCATTATCCTTAATGTGAAAAATCATATATATAAAATATCATATATATATATATATATATATATATATATATAAGAGAAGTGATCAAATATACTGACAATAAAATATTTCAACACCACAAGTGGTATTAAGATGTTGACACATATTCCTTAATGTATATAAAAAAATAAAAAAAAACTTATTTAAAAAAATGGAATATGTATTACCATCTTAACCTTATTTATAAAATTAAAAAAATTCAATTGTCAATGTATCAAATAATTTCTCTATATATAATATCCAAAATCTTCTATGAATATATGTGATATAAATTTTTTTGATTCCTGAGGTTGTCCATGATTAATCCCTAAAATTAAAAATTAATCACTCTATCGAGAAACTAAACGATTGTTGAAATATGTGATATAAATTGTTGTTCATAATTAAAATTTCTTTTGGTAAATACCTAACATTCTAAATTGTGTGAAATGGAGCAGTGCTTAATTTCTTCCCCACTGATTTAGAATTCAGGCATTAGAGTTCTAGTATAATTAAATTAATTTAATTACCAATTACATTCTAATGCAAGCTAGCTAGGTCTATATATGTGATTGTGATATATGGACTTAGGTTAGAAATTAAAACCCAATTTGTTAATGCTCTCCAAAGACTTATATTTGAAATATGGACCAATTTTTGTTGTCAAATTTGTATCAAAATTTCCCTTTTATTTTGCTTTTTTCTCTACAATTCAACCTGAAACTTGACTTCTATTCTGATAATAATTGAATTGTCATGAATTTGCCTGCCCAATCCAATCTTTTCTTGAACTTACAATTAATATATAGTTTAACCCTTTGTGTTAGGGTTTGTTTTTAGGTATCCACCATCCAGTAATGACCTTTATTTATTTATTTTTTCTCTTCTTTCAAAGTGAAGTTAAACATTTAGATAAGACCAAAAGAAAGTTGAAAACCAAAACCTAAAAATGACCTTTCTTTTGAAATTGATGAATTATTGCTCGTTTTCCTAGTTCTTTGAAACATGTTTGTTAACCATCAATCCTTGTTGAGTTGGAATATTTGAGTAATGTTAACACATAGAATTTGTTGAAGCTGAGAGAAGAGTAAATGCAAGGTGCACAATCAACTTCCCAGACATTGGATTATCACAGAATGGCATGCCCTAAGGAAGAGTACACACACTCATCTTTAGGTCAGATAATTAATAAGTAGTAGAGGCCAAGCCTTGCTGGTATCTAGCTGTATCTAGCTCATATGTTGGTTTCTAAAAGGGGGACCAAAGAAATTGAGGTATCAAGTCACACTCTTCATCAGGTATATTAGGACTTGAGATTGAGAGATACAATCAGCTAAATAATAAATATATATATATATATATATTGATGTACATGTCCTATTTCCTAGCTAAGTTAGAGTTTGGGTAGATATTTCATAATATATATTATGACAATGGTTCTTATATATCTATGATTCAAATGATTCGATATTTCTTTTAAGGTTTATTTGGAGTCTAATCATAAAATACAGTTTTGATGCAATAAAAGTCTTGAGATTGAGAGATATAATCAGCTATATATATATTGATGTACATGTCTTATCTCCTAGCTAAGTTAAGAGTTTGGGTAGATATTTCATACTATATATTATGATAATGGTTATATATATATTTTAAGAACACTATGATTCAAAAGTTTTGGTATTTCTTTTAAGGTTTATTTGGAGTCTAATCATAAAATGCGGTTTCGATGTGGTAAAAATCTCTCATATCATGCTGTCATATGAATTGATAATTTAAAGTTAATATTAAAAGTCATCTCTTAAGACAATATGTATCCCAAATATTGGCCACTCATTAGTTAGATAGGTTGACTATTGTTCATAAATGTTAAGCAAAATAGTGCATATGTTTTCAACATTATCTGTTGAAAACTTTAGACTAATAGTAGTACATATGTTTGTTGGAAACTTTAGAACTGATGAAATGCATACATAACCAAAGTTGTTGTACATAAATAAGCTTTCATATCATACAAAATTTATTGTACATATGTTTGTTCAATGACTTCATTTTAGATCCTTGTTTTGATGGCAAGTAGCTTTTTTCCACGCTAAAAACTATGGGTGAGAAAAAAAATTAAGAAAATTAAAAATTAATTTAAAATTATAGTATTCAGTTTGATTTTGATTTTTTTTATTCGGTTTGCACATTAAATATATTATATATATTAAGTTCAGATTGAATTTTAAATTAAAAAATAAAAAATCAAATCAAATTATATATTTTTATTAGTTTTTTTATATATTTCAATTTTTATAAAAGAAAAATAATTATTTTATACCTAAATCTATTTAAATTTATTGAATACTATATTAAAATAATATATAAAAATAAAAAAATTAAATTTAAAAAATTGATAAACCGAATCAAATCGAACTGATAAAATTTGATTCATTTCAAATTATATGAAAATTCAATTTAAATTCGAATTAAATTTTAAAAATTTATAATTTTATATATTTATTTAAAAAAATCAAACTGATCCGACTTATTATCATCTACACAATTTTGAGTTCGGCCACATAGCAAGTATCTTGGATTTGGCCCATTTATCATGTACGGCCCCAAGTTTACAACCAGTAGTCATTATTAAGAAACAACCAACCCAAAAGCAATTAAATACAGTGTTACTCGATCTATCATCTTAAACTACCCTCCAAACCTTTCTTACTTCATCTAAACCACTCAACGGAACATGAACGGTGTGTTATCGCTCCCCATACCAATATCCTCACACATTCACCCGCATTCAATCACACTCTCAATTTCTTACTCGATAAGCAAAATGCAAACAGCTTTAAAAATAGAATATCACGTCTCGCGTACACGTGTACGGCTACGATTATCCAAGAAGCGCGCTAATTCAACACTCCCACACTTTAAAAAAAGAGTCTCGCGTGCTGTGAAGACTGGAGAGTGGGGACCACAAAAGGACTATAAAAATATCTTCTTCATTCTTTTTCTCAGTTCATTTTGTCTTTGCTTTTCCTTGAAATCATCGGCAAAATTGTAAGAAATTTTACTGACAAATTTATTTTGCTTTTCTCTAATCTTTGTTATGATATCTGCTTTTGATTACTTCTTTTTGTGATTTTTAATTTTTTTTGGTAATTTTGCTTTTGGTTTTTGGTAGATATATTGTGTTATGTTTAGTGTTTGGGATCCTGGAAACTGAAATTTCCTGGAAAAATTAATTAATTGAAGATTTTATTGTTTGACTTTGATTACTACTGGTTTTGAGTTGACCGTGTGAATCTTGAAGTTCAGGTTATGTATTTAAGTGTGTAGTAATTTTTGTAGTGTTTTCTGTTTGGTTGATGAGAAAGTAGGATTTTTATTGTTTGGAACCTGAGAAAAGTGAAGGTTATCTAGTTGACTTTAGTTGAGATCTCTTTTGTCTTCAATGTTCAGTTTAATTAAGATGACGATGTCGTTTTGAAGTTTTGATTAGATAGATATTTATTTCCACCCTTTTCTCAGCAACCAAACATGAATTTGTGGGATCTTTTCAGTGTTTGGCAATTGGTAAAGAATTGTTACTACTAATTTTCAATTAATTTAAGCGTAGAATAACTATTTGACCTCAAATAAGATTCCTTAATCGAATTATTTTGACCTTAATAATAATAACGACTATTTAAGTTTTAGACTGTTTACGTATACGTGTGCTGTGTTTTCTCAACGACTGAACATGTGACGAAACACTCAAATCATAAAAAGCACGGAATGGACGTGACTTTTTCACAGAAATTGAGTGTATCTATTTACACTTTGGGAATAGAACTTTACATGGCAGCTTTATTTCAATAGATGTTTTAGGCATAGGTGAACTAGAGATGGTTTTGATACCTGTGTAGGCAAAAAGTGGTTGGTGTGCTTGCTTTTATGTGAAAGTAGCTTGCCATTTGAAGTTCTAATCATGTCTGACTAAAACCTTTGTTGTTTTGGCTTTCAATTGCAGACTTGCAGTTATCAGAATGGACATAATGGTCAAAACTACTACTGTCACTCTTTTTCTTTGTCTTCTTCTGTTTCCTATTGTCTTTTCCACACCCAATGACAGATTGGTCAGAATTGGACTCAAAAAGAGAAAGTTTGACCGAAACAATCGGTTGGCTGCCCACCATGATTCCAAGGAGGGAGAGGCATTGAGAGCTTCTCTTAGAGAGTATCATCTTCATGGGAACTTACGGGAATCAGAGGACATTGATATAGTGTCACTAAAGAACTACATGGATGCTCAGTACTTTGGTGAGATTGGTATTGGCACTCCTCCACAGAACTTCACTGTGATTTTTGACACTGGTAGTTCTAATTTGTGGGTGCCTTCATCTAAGTGTTATTTCTCGGTGAGTTTTATTCCTTAAATTGATATTGAAGTGTTTAAGAATTGGACATATGTGATTGGGAATATTTCTTACATGTTACTGGTGTCTGGCTGCAGATAGCTTGCTATCTCCATTCAAGATATAAATCGAGCCATTCAAGTACTTACAAGGCTAATGGTTTGTTTCTGCTTCTTGGTTCATTGTAGCTTTCCTGAAATCTACTTATAAAATGGTTATTATCTTTTGATCAATCTGTAAATTCCACCGAGAACAAATGCAATAGTTGGATTTAGGTGTTATTTACTCTTCCTTTTGCAATTTTTTAGCTGCTATTTTTGTTAAATATTAAAGTCACGTGTGTTCATTGTTATGCATAATTAGTTCTATTGTGCTTTTGACTGGAGAAACTTGGAAAGGATGACGGGAAGGATATTACATTTAATCCTTGTTTATTTCAGTTAAATTGAGGATAATGAAGTAGATGCCTATATACTTTCATTTAATGAGTCTTCTTGCAGGTAAACCAGCAGATATCCAATATGGCACTGGAGCTATTTCTGGATTCTTTAGTGAGGACCATGTAACAGTTGGTGATCTTGTAGTTAAAAGTCAGGTAATTCAGTAGATTGTTTATTATATATTTTTGAGCTGTAATTCGTTGGCATAGCTGTTGTTGGTGGTCTGTGTTTATGTAAAAGTTATTTTTTCTTCTTTATGTGTTTAGGAATTTATTGAGGCAACAAGGGAGCCTAGCCTAACATTTTTGGTTGCCAAGTTTGATGGTATACTTGGACTTGGATTTCAAGAGATTTCAGTTGGAAATGCTGTGCCTCTGTGGTATGCAATAGCACCTTCTGTCTTTATGTCTTGTGGTTTATTGGTGTCAGTTTGTTGGCATAAGATGTTTATAGTGTAAGAATTAAACTGATGCAACTGCCATTGCATAGGGTATTGATTCTGTAAGTGCTCCAGGTACAATATGGTCAATCAAGGTCTTGTTAAGGAACCGGTTTTTTCATTTTGGTTTAACCGCAATCCTGAGGATGATATAGGTGGAGAAGTGGTTTTTGGTGGGATGGATCCAAAACATTACAAGGGGGATCACACTTATGTTCCTGTAACACGGAAAGGATACTGGCAGGTTAGGATTATAAACTTTCCTTGTGATTTATATACCGTTTGACAATTTATTCATTTTAGTAATGCTACCGTTTCTTTGGGTGTACAGTTTGATATGGGTGATGTCCTGATTGGTGACCAAACAACTGGTGAGAAATTGTCCTCAAAGTTGTCTTATAAAGATATTTGTACACCTGTTTCGGATGTTATGATTAACAGGATAAAGATAATTGATAAGGGACATGTACATATTTTATAGTCTTTTATTGGTTTCCTTACTTTCTTATCCCCGTTTCAGGACTTTGTGCCGGTGGCTGCAGTGCTATCGCTGATTCCGGGACTTCCTTGTTGACTGGTCCCACGGTTTGTATAAATTGTGTCTGTTTATGTGTGCAGGCATGCTTGTGTAGCTGTGCTTGTGTAGAATGATTGTTGTAAACTATGTTTTGTCCTTTCTATGATAGTTTCTCATGGAAACATTGAATTTATAATTACGCACATGATAGAATCTCTCCTTTAACTAACACTTCTAAGCATGTAGTTGCACTCCTTTCCGTTCTCCAAACAATTCTATGGATGTACTTGTACTATTCTTAATGACCAATGACAATATTTGTTGTCTTCCTTATAAGGATGTTCTATTTTTCATTAGATGCTTAAGCTTCACTCTAGAATCCCCAAGATTGTTTTCTGTCTTATGACATGCCAATTCCAGCTTATATCTCTCATGATATGGACATAGTAAGAGCAAATTTTCAGGGCCAGAGGTATCTTACCTTGATATTTGGTAGGATAATCTGATTATGGATGTTTATGTTTATGACCATTTGACTGAGAATCTGATTATGGATGTCTATGTTTATAACCATTTGACTGAGTGCTAATGGTATTCATTGCATTGAAACTGTGCATGCATAGACTATTTGCTGCCAAAAATAGTTTGTTAGTCCTAGCCTTTTGTAGGTGATTTTGTTTCTTATACTATGTTATGTTTTCAGGCTATTATTGCTCAAGTCAATCATGCTATTGGAGCAACAGGGGTTGTAAGTCAAGAATGTAAGGCTGTAGTTTCAGAATATGGAGAAACAATAATTGATATGATATTAGCAAAGGTATACGATTGGTTTTAACATGCGTATATTGTGATGCAGCTACATGATATCTTAAGATGGTTAGAATAAGATACTGAGAGTTTCTTGCTGGACTCCGTAATTAAAATATTTATTATTTTTCATTGACAGGACCAACCACTGAAAATTTGCTCACAAATAGGTTTGTGCACATTTGATGGAACTCGAGGTGTAAGGTTGGACACATATATCTCTGTTTTCTTTTCTCTCTGTTTCTTATCTTGATTGAAATTGTCACTTTGACTCAAATCTGTTTATTAGCTTAGAAGTATTTGTATATATGTGTTTGAATGAATGTGTTCTGTTGCTTTATTAATTTTGCAAATTGTATCATGTTCAGTATGGGGATTGAAAGCGTTGTGAATGAGAATGCTGGAAAAGCGTCTGGCAATTTTCGTGATGCAATGTGTTCCACCTGTGAGATGGCTGTTATTTGGATGCAAAACCAGATTAAGCAGAACCAGACACAGGAGCGTATACTTGAATATGTCAATCAGGTGAATAAGCATCCCCTTTTTCAACCGTTTAGTATATTTCGGTAAGTTTGACTAGGGGCTTACCTTTTCCCAAATTGATAATTGCAGCTCTGTGATCGGTTGCCTAGTCCGATGGGAGAATCAGCTGTGGATTGTAACAGTCTATCTTCTTTGCCTAATGTCTCCTTCACAATTGGTGGAAAGATATTTGAGCTTACCCCTGAGCAGGTATGATGTATTATGCTGGCCTTTTCCCTTGATATGAATCATGATCATTTTGTTTTTCATATCATTTTAGCTCCAGTAACATGTACTATAATGGATATCAATAATTATCTATCTATTGGTTTGGATAGGTCTAAGTAATGAGTTTTAAATCTGTTGATTTGGCTGCAATGGCATGTTAGTGTTCACCGATTCTCTCTTTGTTCCTGACCTCTCCATTTTTTTTGGTGGCTGGAAATCAGTATGTCCTGAAAGTGGGCGAGGGAGATGTAGCCCAATGCATTAGTGGATTCACTGCTCTGGATGTACCACCTCCTCGCGGACCTCTCTGGTATTTCCTTGTACTGGACCACATATATATATATCCAAGGATAACAATATTGTCTACTATTAACTCATAATTTGTATTAGATGTTTACTTCTAGGCTGTCAAATATTTGAAATCATTCTGATATTCGTTGATATACAGGATCCTGGGCGACGTGTTCATGGGCCAGTTCCATACAGTTTTTGACTATGGGAACATGCGAGTTGGATTTGCCGAGGCTGCATAAGTGAAACTTTTCTACGTTTAAACACCTTAGTTTAATGCAGTTGTTAATATTACTCTTAAAAAGTGTGGGATTAAGTATCAAATGATAATTGCATGTAAATACCTATGCAACATGATCTCTGATTTTCACCAGATTGTTGCTTGTGGTGGCTACTTGAACGAGGAATGTTGAACTTTGTGTTTCTTCTTGTTAAATATCAAGTTTGTTCGATCGTTCATGTACTTTAAAATCAAGATGAAAACTCAATGTTGAATGATTTGAGGCATGCAAGTTGATCACGTAGTAGTTCTTTCATGTATAGAAGAAATGATTAATCATTGAAGTTATTGCAGCGAGGGATTTTGTCTGATATATTTGCCAGCTAAGTGTATTAAAACGGGTGGCTGGCATGATAATAGCATGAATCCATGTGCGATTTTGATGTTCACTTAATGAATGCATATGATTTCTGGGCAGTTATGTTGGGTTCTGTAGTGGGAAAATGTGAGATGTAGAGCTTGCATTTCTAGTAAGTAGGGGTATGGATTCTGTCTGGTGTAAATTGAGTCGGAGCGTATCATTAGTTAAATTTGAATGTTAATTTAAGTAAAGTTTATTCAATATAAATTTTTTTATGAAATTTTTATTTAATTGTTGTTATAGTAATTTGTTTTAATCATAGTTACAATAATTTTTATTTTATTATTTTAATTTTATTGGAGTTATTTGATCATTTATTCAAATGGATCTTAATTTGATTTGAGATAAAGATTTAGGTTTAAATCATTTCGGGTGTGTGTCCGGTTTAGATAGGGTTATTTTTCTGTCCGGTTATTTCCATATTTTTTGTTTTTGTATGTCAAATTGTTTGGATATGTTTCTTAAGTCCAGAGAAATTGAGTTAAAACTGAGATTGTGGGGAAGGCATAGATTTTTTATTTCAATAATGTAGCATAAAGGAATAAGATTTGCTCAAATAATTGAGTAGAAGAGAACTATGTTCAATCAAAAACAAAGATTACTTCGATTGGAACAATCATTGGATAAGGTTCGGATGTCAAGCTGTCATCTTGATTTGTAAGCCTAGTCCCGAGAGTCAAAAAACAACTGTAATGGAAGCGGAATTAATATAGCCAGCGAGTCCAAAACAGAAGAATAACTGGAAAAGTGGGTCACTATTAAACACAAATTATTTGTATAAAAATTGTGGATAACGTATTGATTATTGATAGTAGTTTTGATTGTCAATGGATGGACATTGTTAGTAGCCTTTTTTTGGGGTTTTTGCTTCAAATTGGGTTAATACAACTATATTTAATAACTACTATTTGATTCGGTGATTGGTAAAAGATAAATTGTAGGCGAAGTTAGGTATAAGGAGAAGGGGATCAGATAATAAATTCAATGAGAAAAGAGAAATTCAATAAGAAAAGAGGGTCAAGTACTAAGTTTCATAAGAAAGAATCTTATACACGTAAGGGTATTAAAATTTTTTGGGGGCCATAGCCTCTGCCTGCCTTCAGTTATGCCCCTTGGTAAGTATATTTTAACATTTGATTCAATATCAAAATTACTCATAGTTGAGGTTAACTTTTCGCAAGTTCATTTTATTATGAATAATTTAATATCGATTTTTTAAATCACATATTCGTGAGTTTTTTTTTTTTTTTTGCTCTAATCCCGCAGGATCTTACCACATTTTCAAACTCGTGGAGAGAAACTCAACTTTCATCGAATCAATCAGCCCATAAGTCTCAAGGTGGCCAGAGCATCCATCCATTCCCGTATGTACCAAGCTCTTGAGTACCTACACTCCTTGAATTCACGTAGGAACGTGTAGCTCTAGTTCTCTTGATGGTATCTTCATCTAGTATGATAAGAATCCAACGCTATGTCCGAACGGATCATTCGCAAGCTCTCGTGTTTGGAACCTAAAGGCACAATACAAATACTAGTCAACTGCCAGCTTGAAGCCACTTTAGGCTCATCTTGTTCCCACAAAATTCATGTATTAGAGCATCGCCTTTTAACCTTACTTTAAGTCGCTCACACGTACGATAAACACTCAACATTATGCCTGTGTAACATATCAAATTATTCGGGTGTACTGCCCTAACAGCATCATACCTCTACTGAATGACCATAAAGATCTAGCAGCGTATAAAAAATAAATCTAACATAAAACATAATTGATAATTGTTAATATGTTAAAAGATCTTTTCAAATAAAAAAATTGAGGTTAAGAGATAAAAAAGTGACAAAAAAACAAGAGAAAGATTGGAATGGAGGTGGGATTGTTGGCCTCAGCCAAATTCAGATCAAAGTAGATGGATCTTAAATTCATGTTTCACCTAGAGGATGTAGCTGTAAAGGGTAAGCTTTAAAGGTCTAGCAACATTGAGTAAAAGAAAATGAGCGCTGACAAGCTGAAAGAGCCTAAAACAAGATGCCAATAAATGATCCTCCCCACTATTTCAATCAAAAGGAGGCAAATATTAGAACTTTTAAGGGAATTTGGGTTAAATCAGAAAGGGATTTGAAGAAAAAGTTGGCTTTCACAGTTTGGAATTGCTTGAACTTCACTCAAATGTTTCATCCAAATCCTAAATATTCCAACACCTCATTTACAGTCATCAAGCTCTGACTCAAGCCAGCTTTCCTGACTATGAACAAACAGTTTGTGAACTTTTCAACTTTAGTTTTTTGATGTTGGTTGCAACCTCTTTTGCTGCCTTATTTACTTTTGCTTTGATTCCTTCAATCAATAGGCCAACTCTACATTTTCATGCCCATTGGAACAACAATATATAATTTTTTTACTTATGTTCATAAATGATTGAACTTTATTCATTGAAACAATAAAAGTTTTTGTTGATTTCGTATTTAAAGAGATTATAAATATTAAAATTTGAATTCAAAATATATTATACGTCTTTTCTTAAAAATGATTGTATGAAATAACTTATAGATTCATAAAAAATTATCTTTTACATCATTTGAACAATTTTCTTCAATTCAAAACAATTAAAAGTTACTTAACAAACAAAAATAAAGCAGACATTTATGATTCATACATGCATTCACATTCAGGCCTGTCCAACTAAGCCAAAAGCATAGTAAAATCCCTTTATCCTTTGGCATCAAACTTAGGCAAATCCCATATACTTACAGCTTTCAAACTAAGCTAAACAAAAATCCTAAACAAATTCAAACTCAGTTCACGCTGTCAACTTTTGATTAATCCCGGCTTGTGTTCCTGTGTCATCACATGAATGGCTTTATTACAAGCTTAAAGCAAACGTGGCATTCACATCATGCCACGTGCTCCATTCTTGCTTTATGAACAAAAAAAAAAAAAAAAAAAACCCTAAGTCTAACTATGTAAGAAAGAGATTTTTGTCATTAAGAATCTTTCAAAGTTGTTGGATATGCTTTGGATTAAGTCACCAAAAGCAAAGGTACCCCTCAAAAGTTTCTATATATACACATTTTCTTACATGTACCATAACATCCATATTAGCTCCTACAAATTTTTTTTTCTTGGTGCTCCTCTAATGGAGTGGATTAGAGGACCTGTCATAGGCCATGGCGCCACCGCCACCGTATCGATAGCCACTGCCATCCCTTCCGGCGAGCTTTTCGCCGTTAAGTCCACCGAGTTATGCCACTCAATGTTCTTACAAAGAGAGAATTATTTCTTGTCCAAATTAAGCTGTCCTCATATTGTTAAGTACATAGGCTATGATGTTACAAATGAAACAAATAACAAGCGTATGTACAATCTTTGCATGGAGTATGTCCCCGGCGGCACTCTTTTTGAGGAAATTCAGAGGGTTGGAGGAAGATTGGATGAAGAGAAAGTTAGATTGTATAGTCAACAGATTTTACAAGGCTTGAATTATCTTCATGTTAATGGAATGGTACACTGTGACATCAAGAGCCAAAATATTTTGATAGGTGAAGAAGGTGCAAAGATTGCTGATCTTGGTTATGCTAAATTGATGGGAAAAGTTAGTCTTAATGAAGGTTTTGGCACGTCAGCATTTTCCGGTACACCGGTTTTCATGGCACCGGAGGTGGCACGTGGGGAGGAACAGGGTTTTGAAGCTGATATATGGGCTCTTGGATGTACAATTATAGAGATGAGTACTGGGAATTCTCCATGGCCAGAGCTGAATGATCCAGTGTCAGCTCTTTATAAGATTGGATTTTCAGGTGATTTACCTGAGATTCCAAAGTGGTTATCTGAGAAAGGTAAGGATTTTCTGGGAAAGTGTTTAAGGAGGGATGCAAAAGAGAGATGGACAGCTAAAGAATTGCTTCAACATCCATTTATGGATAGAATTAAACACCCATTTGAAAGGCCCGCAAAGGCAGTCTGCCATGAATTCTCCAAGTTGTGTGTTGGATAAAGGTTTTCTGGGATTCAATTCGATGCGGTGGAAAGTCCTAAGATATTGATTCCTGAAGGGATTCCCTTGAAAATCTCCGACTGACAGGATCAAGAAATTGCTCCACGGTTCTCTGTACCAACTTCCAGTGCTTCCTATTGGACTTCGGAGTGAAGATTGGTCACTGTTTAGAAGCAGTGGCATTGAAGAAACAAGGAATGTTCTGATGAAAAGCAATGTCACACCTAGCAGATGATTTTTCATTTCCGACTATATCTTTCTTTGATTCTTTTGAAGAAGAACTTGAAATTGAAAGCTCAATCTTAGACGAGGATTTCTTCTCAGAAAATTCTATAGAAAATATTACTGATTTTAGCAGTATTTCAGCATTTGACAGTGTAACAGATGATATTTCTGTATTAGACAATCTCAATTTTGAGACAGTTAATGAAAATTCTTGTTCTATTCCAATCCCATCTTTCATAATTGAATCATATTCCTATTTTACGTGTTAATTTCTCCAAAATTTTCTTACTTCCAAGGGTGAGGCAGAGATGACCGGCCTCTACTGAATCATCAGCCTCTATTCTTTGTGTGAAAAGAGGAGACTTGAAGGCTTTAGGTTAGATAGATATAAGAAGGCTTTAGGTACCTACCGAATCATCAGTTGAATGAAGTTTGTCTTGTTTTAATAGTTCAAAACATTGGACCGAGTTTTCCCTGATATTGATTAGTTACATCAGTTTCTTCTAGAAAAGCTGATGATAGTGAAGCATTGGGTGCTTGAGGAAGACTGGAAGAAGGGGTTGACTCCAATTTTTTTAATCTATATCGGGCAATGACTTTTAACAAAGCCAAGTAATGTCTGGACTTTTAACAAAGTCAACTACTCAGTCTTGTGTTGTGAAACTTCCCATGTGGAAAAAACAAAGGAAGTGGCTTTTAGGTGCAACAAGTCGGAGAAACCGACAACGTTTCTGTTTGCCAACTCTTGTTTGAGTCAACTGAAGGAGAAATGAAAACTCAGCATTAGCCTTTTACAGTGTCATCTTTTATAGCTTTGGTAGGTGAACTGCTTATAACTAAGACCAAGTATTTACCCTTTCATTTTAAGAAAACATTTGACAATTATACGAGTAATGGAACAATGAAAAAGCCTGGTTATTCATAATCCAGGCTATGAAATTCAAAATTCTCATCTTTGAAAACCTCAGCTGCAGGTTAATCACTCTTCCATATTTTTTCATGACTTGATTCACTGTATATCCCAGGCTTGAGTCCATTGCATGCCAGTTTTCCGGTCTCAGGTTAAAATTCATCCAAATTCTGAGAAAGATTTGGTGTTATTCTCTCATGAATCTGAAAAGAAAAAGAAATTTTGATTCATGATATGTTAGGCAGACCGAAGTTAGCAGGAACATTGGAAAAACATTTAAAACTGTTTATAGCCATATGATTTGAGCAGTTTGGTGTTATCCATCCAAGAGTGAAAAAAGCTAACAGGAAACATGAATCTAAGAAGAAACCAACCTGTCCATGTCTGATTTTCACGTTTAAAGTGTCACCAATGTTGATTTATGGATGATACATTCAACCCGCATTGGTAATGTGGGTACCTTCACACCATAATTTAAAGAACTTGGAGAAAAATAGAAAGAAAAACATATTTGCACAACAGAAACTAGAAATATGTATTTCGATGCTTGATATAGTTCAACAATAGCCAGCCGCAATTTTGGAACTCGATAAAGGGTGAATCAACAAATGAAACCCTACAAAACTTCAGGCATTTATTCTTGTTCATTTAAACAAGAGGTATGCATCTAATGCTAATGAAATATAACAGCAGTTGCTATTAGGGCCTTCATACATCAAGTAGCAGCCTGCGAGGGTCTTCCACAACATCCTTGATACGACGCAAGAAGAAGACCGCTTCTCTTCCATCAATCAGCCTATGGTCATAAGTAAGGGCAATATACATCATAGGTCTTGGGACTACGTTACCTCCAACAACCATTGGTCGGGACACTATTGAATGCATACCCAAGATAGCCGACTGCCAAAAAATTGTTTAATTATGTAAGATTCTCTTATCAGTCACAAGCAAAAGCTAAAAATGAGTAACTCAGAAGAGTGACCAAACACCTCTACGAATACGGATAAGTCACAAGTGTATGGAACCATCGTTCATACACATACAAGCATGTGTAGGTGCATACATATTCAGTTTGTAACCACTAACCTGAGGAGGGTTGATAATGGGGGTACTCAACAGACTTCCATAAACACCACCGTTGGATATTGTAAACGAGCCTCCAGCCATTTCATCAATTGATATGGTCCCATCAGTTGCCTTCTTTGCAAGGCTGTTAATTGTCTTCTCTATCTCAGCAAAATTCATCTTATCCGCATCACGGACAACTGGAACGACAAGCCCCTGCAGGAAAGAAGGAACAAAAAGCTTAACATAGAACATGAGTCACATTCTTCCTTTTCTTTATTCTAACTTTCAATGGTTGCACAGGGATGAGGTCCATGCACATATTTATCAATACTTGCCTACACAATTGGCAGAGCAACAAAATAAAATGAGAAAAGACTTATATAATCTTCAAGATACCTCATTTTCTCATTTGTCATAAAATAAAAAAAGCAACTTCAGTAATAAAGAAAACAAGCAAAAAAAAAAAAAAAGCCTTCGACAAAAAATATATAATGTTCTATAATTGTTAAAGGACAAAGTTTTGAACCTATTAATTACTCATTTCAACTTCACAAACTACCCTAACTTCACAGGAAATTTTTAATTTCAATACATTTTTACATGCATAAAACCCAGAGATTGAAATTTTTCTTTGAAAACTAGCCAAGAAAGAATGCTGAGAGAAACACTAACAATCCAAATTTCAGCAAGTCATTAAATGGCTAAATAGTAATTTGGCAAATCAAAGAATGTTAAAGGAAGACAATCGCAAAAAAGATTACCTTCGGAGTACCAACAGCAATGCTGATATCTATATAATCTCTATAAATAATATCATCCCCGTCAATTACAGCATTTACAATAGGCTGATGCTGAAGTGCACTAACAGCAGCCTGAAACAATAAAATAGAAGCAATGGTAAGGGAAAAAAGAGAAAGCAAAACTAGTGACGGCAGACCATGAATGCATATGCGAGCATTTCAATAACAAATCATTGCATACTTTAACAAATCCGGACATAAATCCCAACTTGACACCATGTTTCTCAACAAAAGCATCCTTATAATCAGAGCGGAGCTTCATCAAATTAGTCCTGCAATGAGAAGCAAATCAATAAGAAAAGAAAACAAATCAACAGAATCAGCTTTATCATGAATACACCATAGCCTTTAAAAAGTAAACTGATCTGATCAACTTCACAAAAAAATTTTATCAGGAAAGTGAAGCAAATAACAGGTAGTCAGCAGGATGCCTAACACCTGATACAAAGAACTAAAATATGAGGGAAAATAGAACTCACATGTCGACTTCATTGAATGTTGTCAACATTGCAAAAGTATTCTGGGAATCTTTCAATCGTGTAGCAACCCGTTTCCTAAGCCTTGTCATAGGAACCTGTAATCATGAATACATATGCTCAGGATTATTTTCTAAGAATGCTAACATCATTCTTCACTAAAGGTACCATTGGATGTAAACAAAAATGAAAAGACTTACTCTTCTTTCCCTTTCCTTGGGTGGAAGTATAGGTTCAGTAGCAGTTCGTTTTGGAGGTGGTGGAGATAGGGCTCTAGGCTTCTCGACAGAAGGAGAAGTTTCAACTTTAGCTTTTGGCTTATCCTCCTTTACAGTTTCAGTTGGGGGAGATGGCTTGGAAGCAGCTTTTTCTGATTTCTTTTCAGCAGAAGCAGCAGGTGCTACACCCTCAGCAGACTTTGAAATGACAGCAATCCTGTTACCTGGTTCCACGGTATCTCCTTCCTTGGCTACATACTGCCAGGAATTAATAACACTAAAGTTCAGGATCCAATCCACTTCCCTTGTTCCCAGAAATGAGAAGGTAGAAGTCTAGGAATGACCAACAAGCTAGACATGTGCGTGCGTGAGTGCATGTGAGACCCAAAGATCCAGAATTGTTGATATATTACCTCTTGTAGCACACCATCTTGGGGACTAGTAACATCAATTGTTACCTGATGAAAATAAACACTGAAGGTATTAGGGGTATAAACAAATATCACTTCTCAATAAAGAAAAGGTCAAGAATGGTACCTTATCAGTTTCTATTTGAGCAATGGGTTCGTCAGCTGCTACTCTATCACCAGGTTCTGCTCCCAAAAATTCAGATACATCCACAATAAAGCACTTACAACCATGAAAATGAATATGTCCAGAGAATTGATAGAAATCACATCAGTGGAAAACATACTTTTCAAGAATGTAGCCAAAGTGCCATCAGATATTGATTCTCCCATGAAAGGGACAACAGCATCAACCAGATCCCCTTCATCATATGATGGGGCTTTAGGCTTCTCCACAGTTTCAGCTGGAGATGGCTCGGAAGCAGCTTTTTCTGATTTCTTTTCAGCAGGGGCAGCAGGTGCTACACCCTCAGCAGACTTTGAAATGACAGCAATCCTGTTACCTGGTTCCACTGTATCTCCTTCCTTGGCCACATACTGGCAAGAATTATAACACTAAAGTTCAGGATCCAATCCACTTCTCTTGTTCCCAGAAATGGAAAGGTAGGAGTCTAGGAATGACCAACAAGCTAGACATGTGCATGCATGCATGTGTGACCCAAAGATTCAGATTTGTTGACATATTACCTCTTGTAGCACACCATCTTGGGGACTGCTAACATCAATTGTTACCTGATGAAAATAAATGCTGAGGGTATTAGGAGTATAACAAATATCAATTCTCAATGAAGAAAAGGTCAGGAATAGTACCTTATCAGTTTCTATTTGAGCAATTGGTTCGTCAGCTGCTACTCTATCACCAGGTTCTGCTCTCAAAAATTCAGATACATCCACAATCAAGCACTTACAACCATGAAAACGAATATGCCTAGAGAATGGATGAAAATCACATTAGTGGAAAACATACTTTTCAAGAATGTTGCCAAAGTGCCATCAGATATTGATTCTCCCATGAAAGGGACAACAGCATCAACCAGATCTCCTTCATCACAATTAAATTGGGAAAGTCAAAAAAATTTAAATTTAACATAATAATGACATAAAAAGGAATGCATGGTTGTTTTCAAGCAGACACCTGTTCCTTATCAATATTTACCTTTTGCAAGTTAAAAAAGCACTAAAAATGCCAAAAAAGTGGAGGTGCAAGTCTAGTACCACCTCATCAATATGTACTTTTTGCAAGTTAAAAATGCCAAAAAGATGGAGGTGCAAATCTAGTACCACGGAAATTCTACTCCAAATCATTATACAACTAACTTACAGGTAAAATTTTCATACTATTGCCCTTACACTTTTCCAGAGAAAGATTTTAAAAGAAATTATGAACTAAAACCATTTTTCTTATTTTGACATATTGCATGACCTAGTAACTCTTGGACAGTCCAACTGCTAACTGCAAAACGGGATTGGCAACAGTTAGATGTTAATGGTCTATACCAGATAAAGTGGTGATCAAATGAACAATTATGATGCACAGGAATTTAATTCTTGCAAATCCAACAAGGCACACCCATGTATTAATAACCATTTAAAAGAAAACAACAATACAAGAAATGCATGCCTTTGGCAAACTAAATTTCATTAAGGAAATTAGTCAATGTCATACCATCTCCAGAAGAGAAAGCTCTGCATGACTTTTGCATGATAGTCTCTGACTGAATGCTAGAAATGACATTCCTGCACATAAGAAAAGCTGTCGGGAAAGAAGTGCTAAGAAGCAGCAAACTGATTTAAAGAATTAAAAAAAGTCATGAGCATTGAATTTCCCTAACAGAAATGAGATGCAATACTTTGCACTGAAATGGACCTTCTATTAAAGAGAGATATGGTAATCACACATGCAAACATCAGATTAATCCAGTAGTCAACCGATACCCTCACTGTGTCAAGTAATGACAAATAGGTGACAGTATAATTCCTAACATTGACGTACATTAGAAAGTTCAGAACCAACTAACCTTGTCTTTGTTAAACCAACAGAACAGCCTGTAATAATCATGAAATAATTTTCATTCAATAACATAAACAATCAACAAAATTATGCCAACATGAGAAGAAAACCACCCAAAAGATTTACCCGGCAGAACAAGAGGAGAGAAGTTCCGGACATGGGTAATTCCTCTTGGCTGAAGTAATAGTATCTGTTCAAACACTTAAAATTTAAATCTCACGACAATATTTACCAATGGATGATAAAAATCCAAAATGATTAATAAAACAAAAGCTTCCATTTGGTTATTGCTTTTACTACTTAACAATACTTTTTAATAAATTATTGACAAAATGCATATTTTTTACTTTAAATCGCAGGACTAAATTTGAATTGGCATTTCAATTTCACCACTTGTTCTTTCAAAAACAAAACAAAACAAAATATGATCTTGCAACATTTTACAATAGCAAAGCCTAAATAAATGAAGCATCTTCGACATCATTAATAAATTTAAAAGCATCAAAAATCAATCAAAATTCAAAGAAACTGAACTACAAGCATGATTAACAAATCAAATTAATTTTCAACTGAATTACTTTACCTCTTTTCCAGCATCCGATGAAACTCCGGACGCTGAAACACCCGGCCGAATCGCATGCAATGACTTCCTTAACGCCTGAAAAATAAAAATAAAAAATGGAAAATTTTTTTTTTAATAAATCCAAGTGTTTTAGCTAAACAAAATAAAATTTTTAAAAAAAATTAAAAAGTTCTAACCGAAGCTGATGAGCCTCTGCTCGCAGCGTTTCTCCTTAATGCGCCCAACATCACCGTTATTCAATCCCTTCTGTTTTCAATATCAGAACCAAAAAAAAAATCAATATTTTCTTAAATTTTTTTTCCAAAAATCAAAATAGTCATCAGATTTCTGTTTATAATCACATTTAGCTCAATAAAAAAAAAATTAAATGAGAAATGAAGCAATTAGCTAGAACAGAGAGAGAGGCTTGACCTGATTGTAGGCTTAGCAGACGAATCTGAGAGTCGGCGAATACAGTATAATTTACAAAAAAAAGGTTTTGAAGATTGATTTCGCTGTTCTTTCCTATTTTGTTCTTTGAGAGAGAGTGCTAGAGAGACCGCGAAGATGCGCGTTTTGCGGGGGCTGCTGTTTCCAATATGGCAAGCACAGTTGAGCTTGCCTACGTGGCATCGTTTTATTGGTAGGTGAAGAAAGTTGGGATTCTTTTCTTCCCTTGACCGAGAATGGAAAGAAAAGTAACGGCGGAGATTTTGGGCTTTGTTTGGGTCAGAAATTAAAGTTTCGGCTTATTTTGATTTTCAAAATTCTAGAAAAATATTTTCTCCATAACCTTGGGCTTAAGAAAACAGCCAAGAAATAGAGGAGATGACGACCATAGAAACGCTTTAGACTCCGCAATTGGGCCTCAAAGGATGCAAAAAGCAAGAGAAAAACAGTTTACGCGGGTTTCAATTAATTGGGTTAAAATGGGCCGAAGTTGGATATAAATTTTTAGACCTACAGAATTTCAGTTGGGATTAAATTAGATTCGATTGGATTTTTTTGAATAATGTATAAAATTATAAATTTTTAAAATTTGAATCAAATTTTCATGAAATTTGATTCATTTCTTAAATTTTATTGGTTCGGTTTGATTTATTGATTTTTAAATTTATTTCGATTTGTTTTTTTATATATTATTTTAATATGATTTTTAATTATTTAAATAGATTTAGGTATAAAATAATTATTTTTATTTTATAAAAAGTTAAAAAAATATATAAAAACTAATAAAAATTAATAATTTAGTTTGATTCTTTTTTTTTTTTTTTAGTTTTTTACTTCTTAATTTGAAATTTAATTCAAATTTAATATATACATTTAATACCAAACTTATTTCAAATCAAATAAAAAAATCAATTAAAATCGAATAAAAAACTATGATTTCAAATTAATTTTTAATTTTTTTCAAATTTTCTCATCTCTAATAGTAGGTTGTCTTAGGTTCCCACTTCCTATGTCGTGTTGGCAAATGAATCTTAAAATTGCTGATTCAAATCTAAACCCGCAAGGGATGAAAGATGGAAAAATTATTTGTAATTAATTTTCCTCTGAGCTAAAAGGAGAAGACTGTCATTTGATCTAATAGCCGACCTTTTATAGATGATTTTATAGGTAAAAGTAATCATTTATCATTTTGCCTTTTTCATTCTTATTGACTCAAACGATAAGAAATTATTCTTTTAATAAAAAAATTTTAGAATTTAATCAATATTTATTTATTAAAATTATTTGAAATGTATGATTTTTTATAAAAATAATAATAGTTCGATTTAAATTGAATTTAGTTTAATTTTTTTAAATACTATATAATATTATAAAAATTAAAAATCGAACTTTCATTTGATCCAAATCAAATTTTATCAATTCGGATTAGTTTGATTTATTAATTTTTAATTTTTTAAATTTTTATATATTAGTTTAACATAAAATTTTAATATATTTAAATAGATTTTGATATAAAATTATTATTTATTTTATAAAAATTAAATATATATATAAAAACAAAAAATATATATAATTCAGTTCAATTTTTTTTTTTTTTGTTTTTTACCTCTTGATTCAAAATTTGATTCATACTTAATATATACATTTAATATATGAATTTGATTCGAATTAAATAAAAAAATAAATTTAAACCAAATTAAATACTACGATTTTAAATCAATTTTTAGATTTTTCGATTTTTTTCACCCTTAACCTCCAATCATCTATCTTAAACTATCGAGTGTAACACATTTTATCTTGATTTGAAAACCTATACAACCTATTTATCCTTAATTTATTTGTCTTTTTGAATTAAAGCAGCAAAAGCCAGCTGCTTTAATTAAGCTCGGAATACAACTCTTTTCATGCATGGTTTGCTTTGATTTGATGATGTTGCAGGTTCATCAAGCAACTATGCACCATATCAAAACCAAGGTAAGTAAATCATTATATCAAAGAGCTTGCATATAGACGACGTTTATTTTCTTCATTGATGTACATTTGAAACGAACAAAAACATAAAACATGACTTCCTGATGATCATGAAGCGCATTGGAAAAAAAATAGATGCTACAATATAAATGTTTAGAAATGTGACATTCTATGTCTTCAAGGGAAACCTCCAAGCCCACCACCTGCACCAGCTCCACCGCCGAACCCACCACCAGCGCCAGCTCCACCACCGAGTCCACCTCCAGCTCCTCCGCCACCACCGAACCCTCCTCCACCTCCAGCTCCACCTCCAAAGCCAGCACCTCCTCCAAAACCAGAACCACCCCCTAGTCCACCACCACCTCCGAATCCTCCACCGCCTCCTCCACCAAGTCCACCACCTCCACCAAGCCCAGCACCAGCACCAGCACCTCCACCAAATCCAGCTCCACCACCTGCACCACCTCCTAACCCACCTCCACCACCAAACCCTCCACCACCACCTCCTCCTCCTCCTAAGCCACCACCAAATCTCGGTCGACGATGAAAGAGGTTTTTCTCATCTTCAATCCCACCGGTAAGCTTCCTAGCACTAGTGGCCCAAACAATAGCACCAAGAAAGAAAACAAGAAGAAGCTTAGAAGAAGACATATTTGCCAAGTCTATAACACTTGTAAAAATGACTTTGATGAGAAGTGGAAGCTCGAAGGAGTGGTTATATAGGAAAAAAAATGAAGCCATGAAGGCTTCGAGAGAGAGTACGGTTGAGGTCTTAATTAAATTTTGCTCATCTTCCTATCTAAAAGCCGTGTCGGAAGAGTTAATGCACCCAACTGTCACTTGCCCCATCCCTGATTGCAATGACTGGATCTTAACCTTGCTTTCTAACAATGAAAGCCATTGTTTGTATGATTCAGAATCCAAAAACCATGGATTTTTCACTCATGTTTTGCAATTTGCATGGATTATTTGTGTTCTGTCTTTAGGGTTTTAAAAAGTCTTCATCCATATCCACGCCTTTCTTAAGTTGACTTTTTAAACGTACCATCAATGCCACAGCTGGTTTGCTTTTGTATTTCTTAGATCCATTTCTTTCAATTAATTCTAAACAACAAGATCTTCTGCTCTGTCAATGATTCAACTACTCAGTTGACATGCAATTTTGCATTTTTTTTTTGTTTTTTTTTTATGATTTATATTTGAATCTCTATCAAGTGTATAAATGCTATATACTATTAATATATCACAAGTTGTCACCTTATTAATTTATTAATTTTAATATATTTAAATATTATATTTATATTTGATATACTATCAATATATAATATTATATACTATCATAACAATAGTAAATTTAAATATATTTTTAGGATTAAGTATATTTATTTTTAGGATTTTAAAAATGTTAAAATTAATTTTTTAATAAATTATTATTATATAATTTATTGATAGTGTATAATATTTATAAACTAAAATTATATCGAATATAAATTCTTAAATATTTAAAATTTAAAAATATTTATTTTTAAAAATTTAAAAATTTTAAATTTGATGATCAATGATATAACAATTTGTAATGCTTATTTGTATTTACTCCTGATTTATCCAATTATCTTTGAATGACTTTGACCTTAGCAAGATATATCTATATAGATGACGAAGACCTCCAAGCATAGTCATTAGTCTTCAAGTCAAAATCAGCTGCTTCCCTCATTAAATTTGTACTGCATGTTTTAATATACAACAAGATTAGGCCATATGCCTTTGAATTGGGGTAAGATTTTGACTTGATAACATTAAATATCAACCTGACCCGAACCAAACAAGTGTTTATTTTCAATCTATTTTAGTCCAAACATTATCCATTGCCCCTAAGGAATCCAATTAGCCAGTCTGCTGATTGCTGAAAGTGTTGTATTTGAACTGTGAATGTCCCGATGACGTGCCTCCATTGTCATTCTTCAGTTCTTCCAATACATTCTCAGCTCAAACACAAACAGAAACTTAAAGCTTTTGCTCTTCAGCATTGAAGCTACAAAGGCTGGTTGTTATCGAATTTTATGGCACCTTATTTCATCTCCTAGTATTTTGAATTCGAAGACCAGATGACCAAATGAAAAATGACATTGTTGAAAATAAACTTGATAATTTGTATATTTATGCTTTATAAAGTATTAAAATTTGTCTATTTATTTTATATTTTATATAAAAATTACATATCACAATTTGTATTAATACAAAAACATAAAATATATATTTTTAATTTTGTTAAACTTATGTATAGTTATTATTAAAATTTTAAGTTAAATTATTTTTGTGTCTTATTTTCGTATTGTATATCATATTTATATCTTATCACCATATCGTATTTTAAATTATTAGATCTATAAGAATAAGAATACGAGGGTGCAGATAACAAAATCAAGCTCAATAATGGAAGACAGCTTTCCTGAAGACAAGACAAACCATTGCCAAATCCGACCCAACAAAACTCTTGCTATAGTATATGCTTCCTTGTTATTTTGTAGTCATTCATTTTCTCCAATTTATGAAACATGATCGGGCAGGCGATTGCTATCAAAAATAAATTCATTCTTTTTTGAATCAATCTTCAAATTACTTCTGGTGAGGCATCAGCTTATTTCACAATAATTTACAATTATCTGCAAAACTATGCCGCTTAACCTAACTGAAAAACAGGGGACAAAAAAAATGGTATGATCAAACCAATGTCCAATCACTTTCATCGAAGGACGGAGGTTTATCAATCAGTGAGAGAGGCTTCTTCGAAAATAAAGATGAATTACTATAAGAAAAAAAAAAAAAGCTCGCAAATGGACGAGAGAGGTTCTCATCTGAATTCCTCTGGTCTTTTGTAGGTGGTTTTCTGTGCTGTTTATCCTTGCCACCACAGTTGAGACCAAGCTTCTTAAACGGACGTTTTAGCTCACCAGCAGGGCTTCCATTTTCCATTGTCAGTGACTCTTCTGCCTGCTTTGTTCTCTTTATGACGTCTTCATCAGGAGGCAGTAACATTGTTTCCACTGTTCATACACCTACAAATAGAATTCGTATTGAACATCATCAGATGTGAAAGATTCAGACAACCACAAGGTATCATAGGACATGGCAAATCCCGCTAAACAGACACTTGCATGCATGAGAAGAAACCAAACACCATTTTCTTGCATGCGAAGAAACCAATGTGCCAGAAACATGCACTCCATCATCGTTTTAATTAGTTAGTAGCATTTGATGAAACCATCTAGTTTATCATAAGCATATGGCATCAGTCCGATAAGTTTAAAAATACTTGCTTTTTCGATTGGTAGAAACATCCAGGCAGCTGTATACAATAGAACCTATCTGGCAAAGATCGTCTATTCTATCATTCCACAAACTTCTTGGCAAGTTGCAACAACGTAGTCTTTGCACTCATAAAACAGCTTCAACAAGTCATCATTGGCAGAGAGCTCGTCGTCAGCAAATAAAAATCCCAAACCAAGCTGAAGGATACAAAACTGAGATATTAGCATTATAAGGAATAAATGGTTGACTTAAAAATAAGAACATAACAGCCAATTATTGATATTCATGTGATCATGTCATACCATGTTTTAGAAACCAAGTAGAAAAATAGAAGACCCCTTTTTCCATTTAATTTTCTTGGATAGCTGGTGAGAGGAGATTGTTAGTATACATGCAACAGCTTTCTTTCCTTAGATGAAACCTTAAAATTTCCCTAATTAAATACAAAGAAAAAATTGAATTGAAATAAGAATTTAGTAACGAAGTAAAAAGCAATTTGAGATTCTGAAGTTTGATTTAAGAGAAATTGTCAACAAATTGGAAACATTTTTTTCCATCTTTTATCTTTTTTTTTTTAATCACCATGGGAATCGGTGAACTTCTTTGATTTCTAATTATTTTCCATTTCCTTCTTATTCTTAATTAAATAAATTAAGGAGAAAATAAAAAAAGGAAAATTTGAACAAGAAAAAAGGCAAAGAAGTAGTAAGTCAAACCACAAACGTTAGTATGAAAGTGGCTAGTGTAAATGTCGTTAAAAGATTCTGCTTATGGTGTATGATTTAATATTAAATATTACTGTCCATATTAATTTATAAAATATTATTCGATTTATTGAATCTTTTAATTTTATTTTATAAAGTATATCTCATAAATTTAAAATGATACGAACATTTATATTTCTAAACATATTTTAGTTCACATGAAATTTATGACACCTCGTGATCATTAGGAGTGTAAATGATACATTAGTATTCACAAACTATTTGGGTTTAATTCGAAAAAAACTCGAATTCGGTTTAATTATTATCGAGTCGAGCTCAAGTTCGAGTAGCTCGATTTATCGATCAAGTAAAATTCGAGTATTCTTATATTTGATTCAAGTAGCTCGCAAGCCTAATCGAGCTTTTATATTTAAATATATTTTTATTATTTTAATTAATAAAATATTTCAAGTTCGAATTCGAGCATAAATAATTGAACTCTTGTTAAGTATACGAATCGAGCTTATTTTTACATATTAATCGAGCTTATTTTTACATATTAATCGAGCTTAATTGAGCGAGTTTGAGTAGCTTGAATTCGATTACGAATCAAGCTCGAGCTTGAAAAATAAAACTCGATCGAATTCAAACCGAATATCAAACTTCGAGTTATGAGTCGAGCTCAAGCTCGAGCTTCTCACTATATCGACTCGATTACACCCTTAGTGATCATGTCGCCGAGCCTGTGATCATATACACAAGTACTAAAACTGAAAATTTGTGTCTGTCAGCTTTACAACAAATTGGTAAGCTGTCTTTGTTTGGTTGTTATATAAAATTATTAGCTTGTGGACCATTTTTACTTCTAAAGTGATGCAGATGGATAAAGTTCTATATTCACTGACGAGCAAGCATGCAGGCATAGCTATCAAAACGATAGTAAATTATATTTTGACACCATTTTGTTCATTTCTCCTTGATTAATATACATATAAATGAACTGATGATAAGATGACTATAAATTTGTAAATTCAAGCATTTAATTTACTGTTAGATTTGTTCAAGTGTTGAACTATTCATTTAACTCAAAAGTTCATCCAAATTTTAAGAAAGTTTAAATAAAAAATTAAAATTTATTAAATGAATTTAAACATAAATTTTAAATCCATTTAAATTTTAAACCGGATTCTAGATAAAAAAATTAAAGTCCGTGCTTTGTTCGACCCAGCTTGAATAAACTATATATTATTAAAATATTATAATTATATAAGTATATATATGTGAATTTTTATTATATATATTTTTAAAAAGAACTTTTTTAATTTTTTATTACATAAATTAAGTTTAATAGATTGATTTGAGATTTAGTTTTTCAATTTAAATTTGATTTGAGAAATTTTTGAGACCCGAAATATTAATATTAGATCAAACTAGGCCTAAATAAGTACATAAAATATTAATACTAAGTATGGCTTCGACTCGAACCCAATTTGGACCGGCCATGCACAACTCTATTTACCATATACGGCTTCTTTCCAATGTAAATCTTTGCTTTATTCATTGCTTAAACAGAAACTAGCTGCCTAACATTCATTGGAACACTGTATTGTGAAGTACCATCAAAAAGAGTATCCGCAAAAATTCGAGCTGTTGCCTCTGTTGGATGATACAGATCCCAGAAAACATGATCGTTCCTGTTGGAGCAATATGTTGAAATGGGCACACAAGGGACTTTGGCTTTCAGATCACCCAGGCCGCAACAGGCAGCTTTTATCTCATTGAACCCTGCAACATAATTGAAAGTGTCATCTGTTTTTATCAAAATTTGAGACAATAAGGAGAAAAAATGCATAAAAATGACATGTTATATACCGTATGCCGATGGTTTTTGGATCAAATTTTGCATGATACTGTAAGTATCAAAATAGGAGTAGTTTACGCCTTGAAGCTCTGATTTCAAGCTGTTCAACACTGCCTTCAACAATTCATTGTACTTAACAGACCAAAAGTTGCGTTCTTCATTGCATTCTTGCGTTTTGCTTTTAGCTCTTTCCGCTGGAATACAACCTATCGCCCCAATCCCAGCAAGAAAAAATTTACGTGCACCGAATGCGTATAGTCTCTGCCAAAATAGTAAAACTTAGGGTTAAATATAAAAAAAACCTCTACTATAAATTTTTGGTGAGTTTGATGCCTAAAAAATAAAATTTTTAATTTGATACTCAAATTTTATTCTGTCATCTACTTAGATATTTTGGATTAACATTATTAATCAATTTGATGACATGGCATAAACAACCAATAAAATGCTAACATATGGACACCATGTCATTAATTGTTATGTCAGCATTAATGAAAAATTTCAAAAAAAATTTTAAAAGATTTGAAAAAAAAAAACTCTAAAAATTTATAAAAAAAATCTGAAATATTTTTAAAAATTATAAAAATATGAAATGTTTTGGAAATTATAAAAATTAAAAAAACTTAAAATTTTAAATTTTAAAATTTCAAAAAATCCAAAAATTTTAATAAAAAATCGAAAAAATTCAAAAAAACATAAAATTTTAATAAAAATAAAATTTTCTTAAAATTCAAAGAAAGATTCACAAAAGTTTTAAAAATTGAAAATGAAAGCAGGTTTTGGTCAGAAAAAGCTTTGAGGTGGAAAGATTTCACTATCTGGCTTGGCCATGTCCCATGTACAATTCTAAACAAAAGTCGCAGATAGAGGCAAAGGGTTCATGAGTTTTACATAATACATTCTTTTTTGTATCAATTTAAACAGATTTATCTATGTTCGGACTAACGAATTCATGAAAATTTTGCTCTGAGAAAATACTGATGTTACTTGGTTACCTTGAGTTGTCCCTTTAGGGTGTTAGTCATCAAGTCCACAAATTGTTGTGGGCTGTTCTTCTTTCTGAGATTGGAAGATCCAAAGTAATCGAATAGGTCATTGCTACCGATTATAATGGCGAAAATCGACTTAGAAAAGTGATTTTCTGCAGCAGAGGATCCCATCTGCTGGACCAAAATTTTATGCACTGTCATGTAGTTTTGCACTTGTTTTGCCAAAGGAATGGCCTGACCCTGTAAGCAAACAAGCGGGGATAGCTCAGTTGGGAGAGCGTCAGACTGAAGATCTGAAGGTCGCGTGTTCGATCCACGCTCACCGCATTTTAACAGTAACAAAATTTTACGTTTTCACTTACAAAAAATTGATCTGTGCCGTTGAAGATTCCGGCACCGCCGGAGGCAAAGCTGACACCGTTTACGTACGATGCATTGTTCTTCTTCCACAAAGAAAGATAAGGTGGTGAACTTGGTAACCCTACTTTTTCAGCTGCCCATAAATATCAAATGTTAATAATATATGAACCAAAATAAATGCAAAATTGAATTCAGGATTTAAAACATTATATAAATAATTTAAAATTTAAAATTTAATACAATTTTATTTTTTAAATGCAAAATAGTACTCACATGTGAAGTAACTAAAGGTGTCAGAAGAAAGCAGGTTTCATATGTTTTTCAAAGTATGTCTTAAATGAAAGTAGGTTATGGTCATAAAAAGCTTTTTAAGTGGAACATTGAAATTAATACGGTGATTCATGAATTTGTATCATATAAAATATTAAAATGTATATATTTATATTATATTTTATATAAAAATTACATATCATAATTTATATTAATATAAAAATATTAATTTTAAGTTTTTTATTTTATTAAATTTATATATAATAATTATTATAATTTTAAGTTATATTATTTTTATGTTTTATTTTTTTATCTTATTTGTAATGTGTTATCGTATCATATTTTTCGTACTCACATACAATTTCTATCTCTATCATTTTTGTATTTGACTAGATATAGCTATAGTATACAGAAAAAGATATTCTAAAAAATATTCATGGTTCCTTTAAATATGTTTTTATTTTTTATATTTATTTATTAAAAAAAAACAAAGCTACATTTTCTTAACTTATGAGTCAATAAAATGAGAATAAACAAATTATAAATATTAAAATTTAAATTTATTTATTAGTTATTAATTTTTAAAGATAATTAAATATGAATCGACTGAATTAAATTTTGATTTTAAAATAAAGCTATATTTAAGTGTTGATGAAAAATATTTTATATTATGCACCAAAAAAAGGAAAATATTTTATATCATATGATATATCATTTATTAATTTAAGAAATTTATTAAATTGTGTATGGAATTAGCCCACATGAGCATCACTACTCTTAACTTTTAAGTGCTTCAGTCTTTTTTGCTTTTGGGACATTTGTCAATGACTACTATATATTATGTAACATCTCATTAATCACAAGCATATCATATGAATTTTGAGATAAGCTATACTTTTTATATTATATTTATAAGAAATATATATCTTGTAAATTCTCCATAGCTTCACTCTAAAAAAAAAAAAGAAAAAAAAACACAACCAACCAAAACCTTGGCATTAATTAATTTGTACAATTAAAAATAGAAATAAAAATGCAAGAAAAATGGTAAAGAAAGAAGAATTAATATTCTTCATGTAAAAAAAAATAAGAGAAAAAAAAAAAGGTGGCTATCATAAATTATCAACAGAAGGTAGTTGAATTGATGTCACGAGTTAAGTTACATCAACTTAGTTAAAAAATTAATTTACATATTAAAATAAAATTAAACAATAAATTAAAATTGAAAGTATTTATGTTTATCTATTTTTTATTTATTTTTATAAAAGAACAAGGTTTTTTAAGAAACTATTACTCTTAAAAAACAATAAATTATTTATGTTTATCTATTTTTATGTTTATGTTTACATATTAAAATAAAATTAAACAATAAATTAAAATTGAACGTATTTATGTTTTATCTATTTTTTTTATTTATTTTTATAAAAGAACAAGGGTTTTTAAGAAACTATCACTCTTAAAAAACTACAATTACACTTTTATTTTTTAACTTTCTCATGTCCTTTACAATAATTTTTTAAAAACATTCCCATGGTAATCATGACCAAATTATAGTAATTTATAAGAAAAAAAGTGAGAATTAACTGTTTCAAAAAAAAAAAAAAAGAAAGAGTGTAAGTGATTAATTTACATGGTTTTATGTTATTTTTAGATCTGATAATTTAAAATATAATATAATGATATAATATGAATACGATATAAAAATAAAACACGAATGTGATACAATTTAAAATTTTAACAATAAATATATATAAATTTAATAATACTAAAAAAAATATATTTCATATTTTTATATAAACATGAATTTGACATTTAATTTTTATATAAAATACGATATGAATACACGAATTTTAATATTTTACACAACATAGATATATGAATCACCAAATTAATCTAGTTATTTTCAAGCTTTACAACATGGATCAAACTTTTCTACCCAAAACAGCTCTTCTCGTTCATCAATGTGTGTAAATTCATATCATTTTAGAATTATATAAGTCTGTAATATAATATCTATTAATCATTTATATGCTTACCAATAAAATCTGCAGCATTCTTGCCATTACAAAACCTCCCAGTTGGTTTTTTAGTCGGAAAATCGATCCCGTTGTGTGGAAAATTTGCCTTGGCGACAGAAACAGCAAGGTGGTTGTTGTTCCCAACATCAACTAGGGAGTCCCCGAAAACAAATACCGCCGGCACCATTTGAGCTTCCGAAAGCTCCAACCTCAAACTAAATAGGGAGAGGAAGAATAAGAAGGAGAACAGCATGTAGTACTTCACCAGAAAAAGTCTGGCCTCCATTTTTAGTAGCTAAAAAAGGAAGAAAAAGAAAAAAAAAAACTCCTTTTTATAAAAGGTTTGGTTTGAGGTTTATATGCAAGGGAAATGGAAGAGTTTATGTGCTTTTATAGAGCAGTCGGTAGGGATATTAATTTTATTTATGCTTAATAGAGAGTTGATTTTATAATGCGATAAAGATAGATATTATATTATAAATATAAAAAAAAATAGATATAATTTTTAATTTTTATTAGATATAAAAATGAAGGAGGATAACATAATATTCATCTTATATCCATATCATATATATATTTCATAAATAGATTTTTTAAAATAATATAAATTATTATTTTAAATTAAATAGAATTAATATATTTTTATGAAAAAATATCTATTTATAAAAAATTACCTAAGTAAAAATTAAAAAATAAAATTTGGTTTTCAATTTTTTTAAAAAAATTAGATATAAAAAATTATCCATATTTATTAAATATCTGCATTGACATAAATATATTTAAGATATTTTGTTTTATATGAGTACAAAAATTAATAATTTTTAATAATTCTATATGAGTGCTTCACCAGAAAAAGTCTGGCCTCCATTTTTTGTAGTTGAAAAAGGAAGAAAAAAAAAATAACTCTCTTGATAAAAGGTTGGTTTAAGTTTATATGCAAGGGAAATGGAAGAATTTATGTGCTTTTATAGAGCGGTTGTAGTTTGTTAGGGATGTTAATTTTATTTATGTTTAATAAAGAGTTTGACTTTTTATCTTAATGCAATAAATATAGGTATTATATTATAGATAAAATTTTAAATTTTTATTAGATACGAAAATAAAGATGGATAATATAATATGACTCATCTTGTATCCGTATTTATTATATATATATATATATTTTATATTTAATAGATAGATTTTTTAAAAATAATATAAATTATTATTTTAAATTAAATAAAATTAATATATTTTTATGAAAAAATATATATTTATAAAAAATTACCTAAGATAAAATTAAAAAATAAATTTTGGTTTTTCAATTTAAAAAAAAAAAAACTAGGGATAAGAAGATTATCTATATTCATTAAATATTTATAGAAATATTTAAGATATTTATATGAGTACAAAAATTAATAATTCTTAATAAAATTTATTATAATCAGATGTTGTTTTGAGGTTAAAAATTATTTTTAATACTAATAATAGTAATTCTTAATATAATTTAAGTTCCAATTATCATTCAATTCTAGCACTAGAATGTATCATTGTATATATTTTTTTTTTCAAAGCAAATTTTTTTTCAATCATTGTATATATGATTTGAATTTCAAAACTCAAAATGTTATTTTTTAAATATAATTTATAAATTAATTAAATTAAACCTTAAATTTTTAATATAATTTGGTCAGCTCAGTTGAATGTTGTAGATCAATGGAGGCTTGGGTTTTTTTTTTTTAGTTTTATTTTTGGACCAGCTGGTTTTCTTGAGTGGATCCGAACAAAAAGATGGTACTGTTGTTAGATCAGAGGACCGATCGAGCGGTCAGACAGCAGCCTAAGTTTTGAGTGTGGGTCCCATTTTCCATGTTCTGAAAACTGGAGAAAGTCTTCCATTTCCAGCTTTTTTTCGAAGTCTGGCCTAACCATATGCAATCTGGTAATTTAAGGGCACCGACCGGGAAAAAAAATAGAAAAAATTAAAATTAATTTCAAATTATAGTATTTATTTTAATTTAGATTAATTTTTTTGTTTGATTTGTATTAAATTTGAATATTAAATATATATATTAAATTAGATCAAATTCTGAATCAAAATTCAAAAAATTGAAAAAAACTGAATTGAATTAAATAATATAATTTTATTAATTTTTATATATTTTTTTAAATTTTTATAAAATAAAAATAATTATATTATATGAAAATATATTTAAAATTTTATTAAAATAATATATGAAAATTAAATTTTAAAAATTGATAATTAAACTAATTTTGATTCGGATTGAATTTATTTTAAAAATAAATAAATTTAAATTCGAATTAAATTTTAAAATTTTATAATATTATATATTATTTTTAAAAATCAAATGAAATCCGATCAAACTGTTATCGCTCTAACTCCAACCCACTTCCTGTGTACTATACCAGGAATGAGGAGCCAGCTAGCTAGAGGAAGAACATGACCAAACAACAGCTAAAATTGTAGAAAACGACTATGGTGGAGCTGGCACAACCCTCACTATCCATTGACCCACAAGGGTGGCTAGCCGGTGGAGACATTTGGATGCAGCCCAGTCGACAATTGATGGGACCATGGCTTATCTAATTCGGCATAATGTAAAAACGAGTGGTTCAAAACCCTAATGAGCACCAATTGCCAGACCCCTTGCAATATGAATAGGCCGAATGGTCAGGCCACCACTCTCCTCTCTGTCACTTGTTTGATTCTTGTTTTCAAGCTCGTTTTGTTCCTGTTAAGCATGGAAAAATCAATAAAATTGGATATGTCGACAACAAATTCAACAAGAGTTAGTGTGAATAGGCACAAGAAAAATGGTGTTTGCTTGCTCGAAGGAAGAATGAGGGATTAGAGTAGACTAAAGCTTTGTTTGGAATATGGGTTCAGCCAAAACGACATTCACACGGTGAAAAGGGCTTTTCACCAGACGTGTTTATAAGTCAGCTCTATATTTAATATTAATAATTTATATATTTATTTATATTTAATCTAGCTCGATAATTTAAGTCTTAAAATTTTTTTAAATTCTATCTAAATTTAAAAATAAATTTCAAACACATTCATTAAATATAATTTATATAATAAATTTTTTTAAAAAAAATAAAAAATAAAAATAAAAATTTATATATATACTTATATAATTATAATATTTTAATTATATATAATTTATTCGAGTTAGACTAAACCACGCTTGAATTTTAATTCTTTTATCTAAAGTCTTGAAACTTAAACAAACCTAAATATTGTATCAAAATCTATTTAATTAATTTTAATTTCTTGTTTAAAATCTTTTAAAATTTGAAGGCACCTTCAAACTTGGACGAATAATTCAACTCTTGAACAGATTTCATTCCCACCTCTCTTTCAAACAACCTATAACTAAAATCTCAATTTCAATGTGTGAAAGAATCATGCTTGATTTGGTCACTTGTCACACTTTCAATTTTGTTATTCCATCCTTTTTATCCTATTTTCATTGAAGCCAATGGAGTATATTTGTTTTGTCTTATTTGTGGATTTTTTTTTTGTGTGCTTAAGAATTCAACAAAATGGGCACCATTTTTATTACAACCATGGAAAAAAAATTCAAAATTCATGATATTTCTAAAATCATACTTAATTGATTTCCAACATTCATACTAATAGTAGCCAACATATGCATAAACATGTCAACACAAACCAAATATCAATCAATAAAAAATAATTATTAGTTTATAATTATATAGCGTGTAAAAAAAGTATTAGTGCTAAGTTCGATCTAAAAGATAAAAACTTAAAATCACAAAAATAAGATCGATTAAAAGCAAATGCTGAAGTTATTTTCGATGCTTACATTGTGACTTTTAAGCCAATGAAATAAATAAAAAATGAAAAAAGTTTAGAAATAGAAATGAGAAAGTTAAGAGAAGAATTTGTCTCATTTTATCGAGAGGGAGTGAAGGGTATTTATACAAGAAGGATTGGTGACTTGTTAGGCTTGCATGAGTGAAGTGTGTTCAAGTCTACTTGCCACATTAGTTCGGCCTATCACGTCAACTTGGATCAAATAACCAAAATAATCCTAATTCAATTGTGAATCACTGAAAGATAATTATACCATTTTAACTCAAAAATGCCCTTAACAAAAGAGGTGTTGCATTTGCATCTATTTTGTAGAGATCAAGTAGTTAATATAAATACTCGGTTCCATTGGCAATTTTCATGAGTTTTAACGCTCTTACTTATATGCAAGGATCTAATACATATGAAGTGCAAAACATACACAAATAGCAACTAAGATAAGTTCAATAAATCCTAAAAAACAAAATTAATTTTTCATATGCATATGAGAAGAGGAATTCAAACATTAAACCAGTTTAACGAGTTATATAAATATAAATATAAATATATATATATAATTTGGAGATATTGCACCAGAAACTCCAAAATTTTCTTGCCAAATCTTGCCAGCAATCAAATATACAACCGGGAAAGAAGCAATTAATCCATAAAATCCATATATACAATAGAAAAGATGAGCTTTGATCCAAGCCATGATTCATAGCTGATCATGAGGTTGTTGAAGCTCTTGCCATTGAAAGAATGGCAAAGAAATTCCAGTTGCTTAGCTTTGGCATGTTCTTAGACATGATCATCTTCCTTCCACTCCCACATTTCTTCTAATTTCGAAACACACAAACGCCTCCTTCGCAGATATATCGTTTGGTTTTGGAGGATTCTGTGAAACAGCCTAAGATGTTTGGGATCAAAGCCATGGAAGGAAATAATATTTGCTCTTTGTGTAAAGCTTCATTCCATGTTTTTCTCTACAATTTTACAAAAGGCTAGATGGCTTTTTTTTCTTAGGCAATGGGTCAATGTTGGTTGACATTAACCATTTTAATTTCAGCTTAATAAAGGCATGCGAATTTTATACATGAAGTTCGTGAAATTCTTTATTAAAAGTGAATGATTAAAAATTTTAATAAAAAATCCAAACGATATATTGATAAGATTTAATGTGAAAAATCAATAATATATAAAAAAATTTATTAAAAATATTTTTTATGATTCAAATTTGATCGATAATATTCAACGGTAAAAATTCTATCGATATTTTTACTAAAAATTCTATCAATATTTTTACTAAAAATATCTATTTAATAAATATATTAAATTTTTTTTAAATTTTACATACTTAATCTATATGATGAAATCTTTCAATTTATCAATTTTGATTTTTTATTTTAATTTTAATTTACTCATTTCTAATAAAAAATTCATGAACTTTACATATTAAACTTCATGTAAATTTTTTTTTCACGTTTTTATGGTCTATAAACCATAAATTTTTCTAAGCACAAAACAAAAGCAAGTTAGACCAAGTGTTTTTCTAGCATTTAAATTTTTTTCCTATGATTTTGCTCAATTCTTTAGAAACTTCCTTTTGGTTGTTGATCTTAACTAGAGTTTGTTTAATTGAAGGGTTTAGAATTACAATAAGCCCTTTTTAAATATATCATATATTTTTTGGTAAAAAAAAAATCACAACTAGAAAATAAAGAAAGTAATTACATGTGTTAAATTTGAATTCCAAATCTGTTAATTAGTTAAATGTTACTTTTTAAAAATGACTGTATGAACTAACTAAATTAAGTTTTAGATTTTAAATATGTCTTATTTTAACTAT